GAGGTCAGGTTTGAGGTCAGGTTTGACATCAGGTTTGAGGTCAGGTTTGAGGTCAGGTTTGCCGTCAGGTTTGCCGTCAGGTTGGAGGTCAGGTTGGAGGTCGGGTTTGATGTCGGTTCGAGGTCAGGTTTGAGGTCAGGTTTGACGTCAGGTTTGACGTCAGGTTTGACGTCAGGTTTGAGGTCGGTTTGAGGTCAGGTTTGAGGTCAGGTTTGAGGTCAGGTTTGAGGTCAGGTTTGATGTCAGGTTTGATGTCAGGTTTGACGTCAGGTTTGAGGTCGGTTTGACGTCAGGTTTGAGGTCAGGTTTGAGGTCAGGTTTGAGGTCAGGTTTGGCGTCAGGTTGGAGGTCAGGTTGGAGGTTAGGTTTGAGGTCACGTTTGATGTCAGGTTTGACGTCAGGTTTGACGTCAGGTTCAGGTTTGAGGTCGGTTTGACGTCAGGTTTGAGGTCGGTTTGACGTCAGGTTTGAGGTCGGTTGACGTCAGGTTTGACGTCAGGTTTGAGGTCAGGTTAGAGGTCAGGTTTGACGTCAGGTTTGACGTCAGGTTTGAGGGAGGTTTGAGGTCAGGTTTGACGTCAGGTTTAACGTCAGGTTTGAGGTCAGGTTTGACGTCAGGTTTGAGGTCAGGTTTGAGGTCAGGTTTGAGGTCAGGTTTGAGGTCAGGTTTGAGGTCAGGTTTGAGGTCAGGTTTGAGGTCAGGTTTGAGGTCAGGTTTGAGGTCAGGTTTGAGGTCAGGTTTGAGGTCAGGTTTGAGGTCAGGTTTGAGGTCAGGTTGGAGGTCAGGTTGGAGGTTAGGTTTGAGGTCAGGTTTGACGTCAGGTTTGACGTCAGGTTTGAGGGAGGTTTGAGGTCAGGTTTGAGGTCAGGTTTGACGTCAGGTTTGACGTCAGGTTTGAGGTCAGGTTTGAGGTCAGGTTTGAGGTCAGGTTTGAGGTCAGGTTTGAGGTCAGGTTTGAGGTCAGGTTTGACGTCAGGTTTGACGTCAGGTTTGACGTCAGGTTTGAGGTCAGGTTTGAGGTCAGGTTTGAGGTCAGGTTTGAGGTCAGGTTTGAGGTCAGGTTTGAGGTCAGGTTTGACATCAGGTTTGAGGTCAGGTTTGAGGTCAGGTTTGCCGTCAGGTTTGCCGTCAGGTTGGAGGTCAGGTTGGAGGTCAGGTTTGATGTCGGTTCGAGGTCAGGTTTGAGGTCAGGTTTGACGTCAGGTTTGACGTCAGGTTTGACGTCAGGTTGGAGGTCGGTTTGAGGTCAGGTTTGAGGTCAGGTTTGAGGTCAGGTTTGAGGTCAGGTTTGATGTCAGGTTTGATGTCAGGTTTGACGTCAGGTTTGAGGTCGGTTTGACGTCAGGTTTGAGGTCAGGTTTGAGGTCAGGTTTGACGTCAGGGTTAAGGGAGGTTTGACGTCGGGTTTGACGTCAGGTTTGACGTCAGGTTTGAGGTCAGGTTTGACGTCAGGTTTGAGGTCAGGTTTGAGGAGGTTTGAGGTCAGGTTTGAGGTCAGGTTTGAGGTCAGGTTTGACATCAGGTTTGACGTCAGGTTTGAGGTCAGGTTTGAGGTCAGGTTTGACGTCAGGTTTGAGGTCAGGTTTGACGTCAGGGTTGAGGGAGGTTTGACGTCGGGTTTGACGTCAGGTTTGACGTCCGGTTTGAGGTCAGGTTTGACGTCAGGTTTGAGGTCAGGTTTGAGGAGGTTTGAGGTCAGGTTTGAGGTCAGGTTTGAGGTCAGGTTTGACATCAGGTTTGACGTCAGGTTTGAGGTCAGGTTTGAGGTCAGGTTTGACGTCAGGTTTGACGTCAGGGTTGAGGGAGGTTTGACGTCGGGTTTGACGTCAGGTTTGACGTCAGGATTGAGGTCAGGTTTGACGTCAGGTTTGAGGTCAGGTTTGAGGAGGTTTGAGGTCAGGTTTGAGGTCAGGTTTGAGGTCAGGTTTGAGGTCAGGTTTGACGTCAGGTTTGAGGTCAGGTTTGAGGTCAGGTTTGACGTCAGGTTTGACGTCAGGTTTGACGTCAGGTTTGAGGGAGGTTTGAGGTCAGGTTTGACGTCAGGTTTGAGGTCAGGTTTGAGGTCAGGTTTGAGGTCAGGTTTGACGTCAGGTTTGAGGTCAGGTTTGAGGAGGTTTGAGGTCAGGTTTGAGGTCAGGTTTGAGGTCAGGTTTGACATCAGGTTTGACGTCAGGTTTGAGGTCAGGTTTGACGTCAGGTTTGACGTCAGGTTTGAGGTCAGGTTTGACGTCAGGATTGAGGTCAGGTTTGAGGTCAGGTTTGACGTCAGGTTTGACGTCAGGTTTGAGGGAGGTTTGAGGTCAGGTTTGACGTCAGGTTTGAGGTCAGGTTTGAGGTCAGGTTTGAGGTCAGGTTTGACGTCAGGTTTGAGGGAGTTTTGAGGTCAGGTTTGACGTCAGGTTTAACGTCAGGTTTGAGGTCAGGTTTGAGGTCAGGTTTGACGTCAGGTTTGACGTCAGGTTTGAGGTCAGGTTTGAGGTCAGGTTTGACGTCAGGGTTGAGGGAGGTTTGACGTCGGGTTTGACGTCAGGTTTGACGTCAGGATTGAGGTCAGGTTTGACGTCAGGTTTGAGGTCAGGTTTGAGGAGGTTTGACATCAGGTTTGAGGTCAGGTTTGACGTCAGGTTTGACGTCAGGTTTGAGGTCGGGTTTGAGGTCAGGTTTGAGGTCAGGTTTGGGTCAGGTTTGAGGTCAGGTTTGAGGTCAGGTTTGAGGTTAGGTTTGAGGTAAGGTTTGAGGGAGGTTTGGGGTCAGGTTTGAGGTCAGGTTTGAGGTCAGGTTTGAGGGAGGTTTGGGGTCAGGTTTGAGGTCAGGTTTGGGGTCAGGTTTGACGTCAGGTTTGACGTCAGGTTTGAGGGAGGTTTGAGGTCAGGTTTGAGGTCAGGTTTGGGGTCAGGTTTGACGTCAGGTTTGACGTCAGGTTTGAGGGAGGTTTGAGGTCAGGTTTGAGGTCAGGATTGGGGTCAGGTTTGACGTCAGGTTTGAGGTCAGGTTTGAGGAGGTTTGAGGTCAGGTTTGAGGAGGTTTGAGGTCAGGTTTGACGTCAGGTTTGAGGTCACGTTTGAGGTCAGGTTTGAGGTCAGGTTTGAGGTCAGGTTTGAGGGAGTTTTGAGGTCAGGTTTGACGTCAGGTTTGAGGTCAGGTTTGAGGTCAGGTTTGAGGTCAGGTTTGAGGGAGTTTTGAGGTCAGGTTTGACGTCAGGTTTGAGGTCAGTTTTGAGGTCAGGTTTGTTGTCAGGTTTGACGTCAGGTTTGAGGGAGGTTTGGGATCAGGTTTGGGATCAGGTTTGAGGTCAGGTTTGACGTCAGGTTTGAGGTCAGGTTTGAGGTCAAGTTTGAGGTCAGGTTTGAGGTCAGGTTTGACGTCAGGTTTGACGTCAGGTTTGAGGTCAGGTTTGAGGTCAGGTTTGAGGTCAAGTTTGACGTCAGGTTTGAGGTCAGGTTTGAGGTCAGGTTTGAGGCCAGGTTTGAGGTCAGGTTTGAGGTCAGGTTTGTGGTCAGGTTTGAGGGAGGTTTGGGGTCAGGTTTGAGGTCAGGTTTGGGGTCAGGTTTGACGTCAGGTTTGACGTCAGGTTTGACGTCAGGTTTGAGGGAGGTTTGAGGTCAGGTTTGAGGTCAGGTTTGACGTCAGGTTTCAGGTCAGGTTTGAGGTCAGGTTTGAGGTCAGGTTTGAGGTCAGATTTGAGGTCAAATTTGAGGTCAGGTTTGAGGTCAGGTTTGAGGTCAGATTTGAGGTCAGGTTCGAGGGAGGTTTGACGTCAGGTTTGATGTCAGGTTTGACGTCAGGTTTGAGGTCAGGTTTGAGGTCAGGTTAGAAGTTCAGTTTTAGTTCGAGCATGGAGCGAGAGAACAACACGTTTCGAAAATTAACCAAAGAGGCGATATGGATGGCAAGGGGATGAGCAAAGGGGTTAAGATGGGACTTAGCAGCGGTACGATGGGTGAAGCGACGGAAGTAGCAGCAGTTGCTTCCAGCAGCAGAGTGACTCCCATCATCAACGGCAGTCCCAGCAGCAGCCCTCCCAGCAGCAGCAGCGCCAGTGGAGCTCGTTTGGCGCGTGAGGGAGTGGCGTGGTCAGCAGGGCATGCAGGACGCACGCCGTGTGTCATCCCACTGCCCTCCCTCCTCCTCCCCTGGGACAAGGGAACGGGTTTGGGAGAGAAACTAGAGGGGAAGGAGATCAAGAATCTGGTTAGCGTTGGAACAAGGATTAAGTGCAAGAATGCGGAGACAAACATGAAAACGAGGGTACATATTGTGAGAAAGAAAGAAGAGATAAAACAAAAGGCGGTGGTAGCACAAGGCACTAGGGTGGCGAGCTAGCATGCGAGGGTGGACAGGGGGTAAGAAAGAGACGCGAGCATGAGTATGAATGCATTCTAGCCGCCTATGACTCTAGTATGAGCTCAAGCCGCCCCAGTGCCATGCGCTACCATCGCCACGCGCCCGAGAACCCTTAACTCAACTTTTTGCCCCTTCCCAAGCGGAAATGACGTTTTAGTTCGAGCGTGTAGTGAGAGAACAATGCGTTACGAAAATGAACCAAAGACAGAAAGGGATCTGGATGGCAAGGGTTTGAGTACAGGGGTTAAGAGGGGACTTAGCAGCGGTACGACGGGTGGAGCGACGGATGCAGCAGCAGTTGTTCCCAGCAGCAGAGTGACTCCCATCATCAACAGCACTCCCAGCAGCAGACCTCCCAGCACCAGCAGCAGCGCCAGTGGAGCTCGTTGGCGCGTGAGGGAGTGGCGTGGTCAGCAGGGCATGCAGGACGCACGCCGTGTGTCATCCCACTGCCCTCCCTCCTCCTCCCCTGGGACAAGGGAACGGGTTTGGGAGAGAAACTAGAGGGGAAGGAGATCAAGAGTCTGGTTAGCATTGGAACAAGGATTAAGTGCAAGAATGCGGAGACAAACATGAAAACGAGGGTACATATTGTGAGGAAGAAAAAAGAGATAAAACAAAAGGCGGTGGTAGCACAAGGCGCTGGGGCGGCGAGCTAGCATGCGAGGGTGGTTTGGGACGTGGTGGGATGGGGTAGGCGCATGTCGACAGTGAAGGTGGCAATAGAGCAGAAGCAGTGAAGAGCGAGCACTGAGAAACTTGAAAAAGGAGCACAGCGAAAATAGAGTGGTTGAATCGTGGAGGGGGGGGAACGGGGAAGGCGCATGGCGACAGTGGCCCACGGCAGTACAGCGGCGAGCTGAGCCAGCGAGGGGGGACTGGGGTAGAGAGGGACGCGCGCATGGCATGAATGCACTCCCTCTCCACTAATCTCTCCCACCGCTCCCACTACACTGCACTCTGCATGAGCTCTGCTGCCATAGCACCATGGACCACCACCACCATGCACCAGAAGATGGATGCATCGTGAAATTTTTCCAGAGCGAAAGCGACAGATGGGGATAGCGAAGGAGAAAAGAAGGGAGGACGGGGTGCGGAGGGGAGACTTAGCTACAGGAGAAGCGTGGACGCAGAGAGTGAGTCGCCCAAGACAGCAGAAATCCTTGAGGGCGACAGCAGTAAGCAGCAGCGTCCCACGCAGATCGTCGCCACCAGACCAGATGCACGTGGCGTGCGATTGGTTGGCTGCTATCTTGTGCACACATCGCACACAGAACGCCCCACTGTGTAAGTCGCAAACAGAGCGGGTGCACTCCCCTTGTTGTGAGGGCGGGGCGCCGCTGCTCTGGGGGGTTGTGAGGGCGAGAAAACAAGGAGAAGACATAAGGACAAGGAAAAAAGGACGAGGAAAAGAAGGAAATGAATAGGGGACGAGGCGAGAAGAGAAGGACAAAGGCAACAGCACGAATTTGACAAGTCAACCAGGGAAAATGACAAGAGGGTGGGAAGAAAATCACTTCCTGGAACCTCCACTCACACTGAACACCTCACAGAGGGAAAATCACAGTGAGTGCAGTACGAAGAGCAATCAGGCCGTGTAGCAGATAGAGCAGCCAGCAGCAAAAGACAGAAGTGAAAGAGAGAGCAGATGCAGTGAAATGGAGGAGTGAAAGAGCGAACGGGTGGAATCACATGAAAGGAGAGTGCGGGTACAGTTAAAGGGATGCATTCCGTACCATAACGGCAGCGATGGCAGCGTTGTCGAGGACTGGAATTGACTGGCGTTGACTGATGCCCACTGCCGTGCTGCTGCAGGCAGCGCTGTGCTGCTGTGCTGCCTGCACCCACTCGCCCTGAGGATGGATGGGGGAGAAGGCACGGCAAGGGCAGAGGGCAGAGGGCAGGCAATGAACTCGGAATGAGTGCAGCAGAAAGTGCAGCAAGGAATGGAGTAGCATTGGAGGCAAAATCTCAGATGCGGGAAAGAAAGCAGGTAAAAGTGGCCAATATAGCAGAAGCAGTGGTGGAGAGCAAGAGTGAGAAACTCGAAACTTGAGCGGTGGGAGTGGGGAGGAGCGGGGACGGGTAGGCGCATGGCGACGGTGGCCCACAGCACAACAGCAGCAAGCTGAGCCAGCGAGGGGGGACTGGGGTAGAGAGGGACGCGCGCATGGCATGAATGCACTCCCTCTCCCTCTAATCTCTCCCACCACTCCCACTACACTGCACTCTACATGAGCTCTGCTGCCATAGCACCATGGACCACCACCACCATGCGCCAGAAGATGGCAAGCATGGGGACGGAAGAGATTTGCAAAGAATGAAACACAAGGAGGGGGGGCGAGGGAGGTTGGTTGGGACGGATGGGGAGGGAGCGAGGGCCGGAGAGGAGACTTAGCTACAGGAGAAGCGTGGACGCAGAGAGGGAGTCGCCCAAGGCAGGGCAGCAGAACTCCTCCCGGGCGACAGCAGCAAGCAGCAGCGTCCCATACGGCTCGTCTCCATCATCCACACACCGTCGGTTGCATGTGGCGTGCGATTGGTTGGCTGCTGGCTTGTGCATACCACCGCACATGGAACGCCCCACTCTGCAAGTCGCCACACACTGGTGATGCTCCTTTAGTGCTTCCCTGCAAGCAAAATAAAGGAGAGAATCACCCAGAGTGAAGGCAAGATGTTGGGTGAGGTGTTGCAGACGCGTTGAGAGATTGAGCGCAAGCCAGAATGCAAACACAGACAGACCGGGAATGAAGCAGAATTGGAAAAGGGCAGCAGGCAACGCAAAGGCAAGAGCTTAAAGAGGACACAACGAGAAACGTAAAGTAGGAGGGAAGAGCAGGATGGAGGGGGGAGGAGGAGACGGAAGCAGGAAGCAGGAGGGAGCAGGAGGGAGGAGGGAGGGGCTACTAGCAGGGGTTCGTCGTGCGGGGTCTGACGTACCAGAATGTCAGCGATGGCATGGGCGTGGGTTTCAAGGACTGGCGTTGACTGATGTTGACTACCATGCTGCTGCAGCCAGCGCTGTGCGGCTCTGCCACCTGCACTCTGTTCGCCCTGAGGCCAGAGGGGGACAAGGCACAGGGAGAAGTAGATGCAAAGGAAAAGGATCGGCCTCGGAACTTGAAACGAATGGGAGCAGCAAGAACGCCAAGGTGGCAAGGCAATAGAGCAAAAGCAGTGAAGAGCGAGCACTGAGAAACTTGAAAAAGGAGCACAGCGAAAATAGAGTGGTTGAATCGTGGAGGGGGGGGAACGGGGAAGGCGCATGGCGACAGTGGCCCACGGCAGTACAGCAGCGAGCTGAGCCAGCGAGGGGGGACTGGGGTAGAGAGGGACGCGCGCATGGCATGAATGCACTCCCTCTCCCTCTAATCTCTCCCACCGCTCCCACTACACTGCACTCTACATGAGCTCTGCTGCCATAGCACCATGGACCACCACCACCATGCGCCAGAAGATGGATGCATCGTGAAATTTGTCCAGAGCGAAAGCGACAGATGGGGATAGCGAAGGAGAAAAGAAGGGAGGACGGGGTGCGGAGGGGAGACTTAGCTACAGGAGAAGCGTGGACGCAGAGAGTGAGTCGCCCAAGACAGCAGAAATCCTTGAGGGCGACAGCAGTAAGCAGCAGCGTCCCACGCAGATCGTCGCCACCAGACCAGATGCACGTGGCGTGTGATTGGTTGGCTGCTATCTTGTGCACACATCGCACACAGAACGCCCCACTGTGTAAGTCGCAAACAGAGCGGGTGCACTCCCCCTGTTGTGAGGGCGGGGCGCCGCTGCTCTGGGGGGTTGTGAGGGCGAGAAGACAAGGAGAAGACATAAGGACAAGGAAAAAAGGACGAGGAAAAGAAGGAAATGAATAAGGGACGAGGCGAGAAGGGAAGGACAAAGGCAACAGCACGAAAATGACAAGTCAACCAGGGAAAATGACAAGAGGGTGGGAAGAAAATCACTTCCTGGAACCTCCACTCACACTGAACACCTCACAGAGGGAAAATCACAGTGAGTGCAGTACGAAGAGCAATCAGGCCGTGTAGCAGATAGAGCAGCCAGCAACAACAGACAGAAGCGAAAGAGAGAGCAGATGCAGTGAAATGGAGGAGTGAAAGAGAGAACGGGTGGAATAACATGAAAGGAGAGTGCGGGTACAGTTAAAGGGATGCATCCCGTACCATAACGGCAGCGATGGCAGCGTTGTGGAGGACTGGAATTGACTGGCGTTGACTGATGCCGACTGCCGTGCTGCTGCAGGCAGCGCTGTGCTGCTGTGCTGCCTGCACCCACTCGCCCTGAGGATGGATGGGGGAGAAGGCACGGCAAGGGCACAGGGCAGAGGGCAGGCAATGAACTCGGAATGAGTGCAGCAGAAAGTGCAGCAAGGAATGGAGTAGCATTGGAGGCAAAAGCTCAGATGCGGGAAAGAAAGCAGGTAAAAGTGGCCAATAGAGCAGAAGCAGTGGTGGAGAGCAAGAGTGAGAAACTCAAAACTTGAGTGGTGGGAGTGGGGAGGAGGGGGGACGGGTAGGCGCATGGCGACGGTGGCCCACAGCACAACAGCAGCAAGCTGAGCCCGCGAGGGGGGACTGGGGTAGAGAGGGACGCGCGCATGGCATGAATGCACTCCCTCTCCCAATAGTCTCTCCCACCACTCCCACTACACTGCACTCTACATGAGCTCTGCTGCCATAGCACCATGGACCACCACCACCATGCGCCAAAGGACGGACAAGCATGGGGATGGAAGAGATTTGCAAAGAATGAAACACAAGGAGGGGGAGCGAGGGAGGTTGGTTGGGACGGATGGGGAGCGAGCGAGGGCCGGAGAGGAGACTTAGCTACAGGAGAAGCGTGGACGCAGAGAGGGAGTTGCCCAAGGCAGGGCAGCAGAAATCCTCCCGGGCGACAGCAGCAAGCAGCAGCGTCCCATACGGCTCGTCTCCATCATCCACACACCGTCGGTTGCATGTGGCGTGCGATTGGTTGGCTGCTGGCTTGTGCATACCACCGCACACGGAACGCCCCACTCTGCAAGTCGCCACACACGGGTGATGCTCCTTGAGTGCTTCCCTGCAAGCAAAATAAAGGAGAGAATCACCCAGAGTGAAGGCAAGATGTTGGGTGAGGTGTTGCAGACGCGTTGAGAGATTGAGAGCAAGCCAGAATGCAAACACAGACAGACCGGGAATGAAGCAGAATTGGAAAAGGGCAGCAGGCAACGCAAAGGCAAGAGCTTAAAGAGGACACGACGGGAAACGTAAGGTAGGAGGAAAGAGCAGGATGGAGGGGGGAGGAGGAGACGGAAGCAGGAAGCAGGAGGGAGCAGGAGGGAGGAGGGAGGGGCTACTAGCAGGGGTTCGGTCGTGCGGGGTCTGACGTACCATAATGGCAGCGATGGCATGGGCGTGGGTTTCGAGGACTGGCGTTGACTGATGTTGACTGCCATGCTGCTGCAGCCAGCGCTGTGCGGCTCTGCCACCTGCACTCTGTTCGCCCTGAGGCCAGAGGGGGACAAGGCACAGGGAGAAGGAGATGCAAAGGAAAAGGATCGGCCTCGGAACTTGAAACGAATGGGAGCAGCAAGAACGCCAAGGTGGCAAGGCAATAGAGCAGAAGCAGTGAAGAGCGAGCACTGAGAAACTTGGAAAAGGAGCACAGCGAAAATAGAGTGGTTGAATCGTGGAGGGGGGGGAACGGGGAAGGCGCATGGCGACAGTGGCCCACGGCAGTACAGCGGCGAGCTGAGCCAGCGAGGGGGGACTGGGGTAGAGAGGGACGCGCGCATGGCATGAATGCACTCCCTCTCCCACTAATCTCTCCCACCGCTCCCACTACACTGCACTCTACATGAGCTCTGCTGCCATAGCACCACGGACCACCACCACCATGCGCCAAAAGACGGACAAGCATGGGGACGGAAGAGATTTGCAAAGAATGAAACACAAGGAGGGGGAGCGAGGGAGGTTGGTTGGGACGGATGGGGAGCGAGCGAGGGCCGGAGAGGAGACTTAGCTACAGGAGAAGCATGGACGCAGAGAGGGAGTCGCCCAAGGCAGGGCAGCAGAAATCCTCCCGGGCGACAGCAGCAAGCAGCAGCATTCCATACGGCTCGTCTCCATCATCCACACACCGTCGGTTGCATGTGGCGTGCGATTGGTTGGCTGCTGACTTGTGCATACCACCGCACACGGAACGCCCCACTCTGCAAGTCGCCACACACTGGTGATGCTCCTTGAGTGCTTCCCTGCAAGCAAAATAAAGGAGAGAACCACCCAGAGTGAAGGCAAGATGTTGGGTGAGGTGTTGCAGACGCGTTGGGAGATTGAGAGCAAGCCAGAATGCAAACACAGACAGACCGGGAATGAAGCAGAATTGGAAAAGGGCAGCAGGCAACGCAAAGGCAAGAGCTTAAAGAGGACACGACGAGAAACGTAAGGTAGGAGGGAAGAGCAGGATGGAGGGGGGAGGAGGAGACGGAAGCAGGAAGCAGGAGGGAGCAGGAGGGAGGAGGGAGGGGCTACTAGCAGGGGTTCGGTCGTGCGGGGTCTGACGTATCATAATGGCAGCGATGGCATGGGCGTGGGTTTCGAGGACTGGCGTTGACTGGCGTTGACTGATGTTGACTGCCATGCTGCTGCAGCCAGCGCTGTGCGGCTCTGCCACCTGCACTCTGTTCGCCCTGAGGCCAGAGGGGGACAAGGCACAGGGAGAAGGAGATGCAAAGGAAAAGGATCGGCCTCGGAACTTGAAACGAATGGGAGCAGCAAGAACGCCAAGGTGGCAAGGCAATAGAGCAGAAGCAGTGAAGAGCGAGCACTGAGAAACTTGAAAAGGGAGCACAGCGAAAATAGAGTGGTTGAATCGTGGTGGGGGGGAACGGGGAAGGCGCATGGCGACAGTGGCCCACGGCAGTACAGCGGCGAGCTGAGCCAGCGAGGGGGGACTGGGGTAGAGAGGGACGCGCGCATGGCATGAATGCACTCCCTCTCCCACTAATCTCTCCCACCGCTCCCACTACACTGCACTCTACATGAGCTCTGCTGCCATAGCACCATGGACCACCACCACCATGCGCCAAAAGATGGACAAGCATGGGGACGGAAGAGATTTGCAAAGAATGTAACACAAGGAGGGGGAGCAAGGGAGGTTGGTTGGGACGGATGGGGAGCGAGCGAGGGCCGGAGAGGAGACTTAGCTACAGGAGAAGCGTGGACGCAGAGAGGGAGTCGCTCAAGGCAGGGCAGCAGAAATCCTCCCGGGCGACAGCAGCAAGCAGCAGCGTCCCATACGGCTCGTCTCCATCATCCACACACCGTCGGTTGCATGTGGCGTGCGATTGGTTGGCTGCTGGCTTGTGCATACCACCGCACACGGAACGCCCCACTCTGCAAGTCGCCACACACGGGTGATGCTCCTTGAGTGCTTCCCTGCAAGCAAAATAAAGGAGAGAATCACCCAGAGTGAAGGCAAGATGTTGGGTGAGGTGTTGCAGACGCGTTGAGAGATTGAGAGCAAGCCAGAATGCAAACACAGACAGACCGGGAATGAAGCAGAATTGGAAAAGGGCAGCAGGCAACGCAAAGGCAAGAGCTTAAAGAGGACACGACGGGAAACGTAAGGTAGGAGGAAAGAGCAGGATGGAGGGGGGAGGAGGAGACGGAAGCAGGAAGCAGGAGGGAGCAGAAGGGAGGAGGGAGGGGCTACTAGCAGGGGTTCGGTCGTGCGGGGTCTGACGTACCATAATGGCAGCGATGGCATGGGCGTGGGTTTCGAGGACTGGCGTTGACTGATGTTGACTGCCATGCTGCTGCAGCCAGCGCTGTGCGGCTCTGCCACCTGCACTCTGTTCGCCCTGAGGCCAGAGGGGGACAAGGCACAGGGAGAAGGAGATGCAAAGGAAAAGGATCGGCCTCGGAACTTGAAACGAATGGGAGCAGCAAGAACGCCAAGGTGGCAAGGCAATAGAGCAGAAGCAGTGAAGAGCGAGCACTGAGAAACTTGAAAAAGGAGCACAGCGAAAATAGAGTGGTTGAATCGTGGAGGGGGGGGAACTGGGAAGGCGCATGGCGACAGTGGCCCACGGCAGTACAGCGGCGAGCTGAGCCAGCGAGGGGGGACTGGGGTAGAGAGGGACGCGCGCATGGCATGAATGCACTCCCTCTCCACTAATCTCTCCCACCGCTCCCACTACACTGCACTCTGCATGAGCTCTGCTGCCATAGCACCATGGACCACCACCACCATGCGCCAGAAGATGGATGCATCGTGAAATTTTTCCAGAGCGAAAGCGACAGATGGGGATAGCGAAGGAGAAAAGAAGGGAGGACGGGGTGCGGAGGGGAGACTTAGCTACAGGAGAAGCGTGGACGCAGAGAGTGAGTCGCCCAAGACAGCAGAAATCCTTGAGGGCGACAGCAGTAAGCAGCAGCGTCCCATGCAGATCGTCGCCACCAGACCAGATGCACGTGGCGTGTGATTGGTTGGCTGCTATCTTGTGCACACATCGCACACAGAACGCCCCACTGTGTAAGTCGCACACAGAGCGGGTGCACTCCCCCTGTTGTGAGGGCGGGGCGCCGCTGCTCTGGGGGGTTGTGAGGGCGAGAAGACAAGGAGAAGACATAAGGACAAGGAAAAAAGGACGAGGAAAAGAAGGAAATGAATAGGGGACGAGGCGAGAAGAGAAAGACAAAGGCAACAGCACGAAAATGACAAGTCAACCAGGGAAAATGACAAGAGGGTGGGAAGAAAATCACTTCCTGGAACCTCCACTCACACTGAACACCTCACAGAGGGAAAATCACAGTGAGTGCAGTACGAAGAGCAATCAGGCCGTGTAGCAGATAGAGCAGCCAGCAGCAACAGACAGAAGCGAAAGAGAGTGCAGATGCAGTGAAATGGAGGAGTGAAAGAGAGAACGGGTGGAATCACATGAAAGGAGAGTGCGGGTGCAGTTAAAGGGATGCATTCCGTACCATAACGGCAGCGATGGCCGCGTTGTCGAGGACTGGAATTGACTGGCGTTGACTGATGCCGACTGCCGTGCTGCTGCAGGCAGCGCTGTGCTGCTGTGCTGCCTGCACCCACTCGCCCTGAGGATGGATGGGGGAGAAGGCACGGCAAGGGCAGAGCGCAGAGGGCAGGCAATGAACTCGGAATGAGTGCAGCAGAAAGTGCAGCAAGGAATGGAGTAGCATTGGAGGCAAAAGCTCAGATGCGGGAAAGAAAGCAGGTAAAAGTAGGCAATATAGCAGAAGCAGTGGTGGAGAGCAAGAGTGAGAAACTCGAAACTTGAGTGGTGGGAGTGGGGAGGAGGGGGGACGGGTAGGCGCATGGCGACGGTGGCCCACAGCACAACAGCAGCAAGCTGAGCCAGCGAGGGGGGACTGGGGTAGAGAGGGACGCGCGCATGGCATGAATGCACTCCCTCTCCCTCTAAACTCTCCCACCACTCCCACTACACTGCACTCTGCATGAGCTCTGCTGCCATAGCACCATGGACCACCACCACCATGCGCCAGAAGATGGATGCATCGTGAAATTTGTCCAGAGCGAAAGCGACAGATGGGGATAGCGAAGGAGAAAAGAAGGGAGGACGGGGTGCGGAGGGGAGACTTAGCTACAGGAGAAGCGTGGACGCAGAGAGTGAGTCGCCCAAGACAGCAGAAATCCTTGAGGGCGACAGCAGTAAGCAGCAGCGTCCCACGCAGATCGTCGCCACCAGACCAGATGCACGTGGCGTGCTATTGGTTGGCTGCTATCTTGTGCACACATCGTACACAGAACGCCCCACTGTGTAAGTCGCACACAGAGCGGGTGCACTCCCCCTGTTGTGAGGGTGGGGCGCCGCTGCTCTGGGGCGTTGTGAGGGCGAGAAGACAAGGAGAAGGCATAAGGACAAGGTAAAAGGACGAGGAAAAGAAGGAAATGACTAAGGGACGAGGCGAGAAGGGAAGGACAAAGGCAACAGCACGAAAATGACAAGTCAACCAGGGAAAATGACAAGAGGGTGGGAAGAAAATCACTTCCTGGAACCTCCACTCACACTGAACACCTCACAGAGGGAAAATCACAGTGAGTGCAGTACGAAGAGCAATCAGGCCGAGTAGCAGATAGAGCAGCCAGAAGCAACAGACAGAAGCGAAAGAGAGAGCAGATGCAGTGAAGTGGAGGAGTGGACGAGAGAAGGGGTGGAATCACATGAAAGGAGAGTGCGGGTACAGTGAAAGGGATGCATTCCGTACCATAACGGCAGCGATGGCAGCGTTGTCAAGGACTGGAATTGACTGGCGTTGACTGATGCCGTCTGCCGTGCTGCTGCAGGCAGCGCTGTGCTGCTGTGCTGCCTGCACCCACTTGCCCTGAGGATGGATGGGGGAGAAGGCACGGCAAGGGCGGAGGGCAGAGGGCAGGCAATGAACTCGGAATGAGTGCAGCAGAAAGTGCAGCAAGGAATGGAGTAGCATTGGAGGCAAAAGCTCAGATGCGGGAAAGAAAGCAGGTAAAAGTGGCCAATAGAGCAGAAGCAGTGGTGGAGAGCAAGAGTGAGAAACTCGAAACTTGAGTGGTGGGAGTGGGGAGGAGGGGGGACGGGTAGGCGCATGGCGACGGTGGCCCACAGCACAACAGCAGCAAGCTGAGCCAGCGAGGGCGGACTGGGGTAGAGAGGGACGCGCGCATGGCATGAATACACTCCCTCTCCCACTAATCTCTCCCACCACTCCCACTACACTGCACTCTACATGAGCTCTGCTGCCATAGCACCATGGACCACCACCACCATGCGCCAAAAGACGGACAAGCATGGGGACGGAAGAGATTTGCAAAGAATGAAACACAAGGAGGGGGAGCGAGGGAGGTTGGTTGGGACGGATGGGGAGCGAGCGAGGGCCGGAGAGGAGACTTAGCTACAGGAGAAGCGTGGACGCAGAGAGGGAGTCGCCCAAGGCAGGGCAGCAGAAATCCTCCCGGGCGACAGCAGCAAGCAGCAGCGTCCCATACGGCTCGTCTCCATCATCCACACACCGTCGGTTGCATGTGGCGTGCGATTGGTTGGCTGCTGGCTTGTGCATACCACCGCACACGGAACGCCCCACTCTGCAAGTCGCCACACACTGGTGATGCTCCTTGAGTGCTTCCCTGCAAGCAAAATAAAGGAGAGAATCACCCAGAGTGAAGGCAAGATGTTGCGTGTGGTGTTGCAGACGCGTTGAGAGATTGAGAGCAAGCCAGAATGCAAACACAGACAGACCGGGAATGAAGCAGAATTGGAAAAGGGCAGCAGGCAACGCAAAGGCAAGAGCTTAAAGAGGACACGACGAGAAACGTAAGGTAGGAGGAAAGAGCAGGATGGAGGGGGGAGGAGGAGACGGAAGCAGGAAGCAGGAGGGAGCAGGAGGGAGGAGGGAGGAGCTACTAGCAGGGGTTCCGTCGTGCGGGGTCTGACATACCATAATGGCAGCGATGGCATGGGCGTGGGTTTCGAGGACTGGCGTTGACTGATGTTGACTGCCATGCTGCTGCAGCCAGCGCTGTGTGGCTCTGCCACCTGCACTCTGTTCGCCCTGAGGCCAGAGGGGGACAAGGCACAGGGAGAAGGAGATGCAAAGGAAAAGGATCGGCCTCGGAACTTGAAACGAATGGGAGCAGCAAGAACGCCAAGGTGGCAAGGCAATAGAGCAGAAGCAGTGAAGAGCGAGCACTGAGAAACTTGAAAAAGGAGCACAGCGAAAATAGAGTGGTTGAATCGTGGAGGGGGGGGAACGGGGAAGGCGCATGGCGACAGTGGCCCACGGCAGTACAGCGGCGAGCTGAGCCAGCGAGGGGGGACTGGGGTAGAGAGGGACGCGTGGATGGCATGAATGCACTCCCTCTCCCACTAATCTCTCCCACCACTCCCACTACACTGCACTCTACATGAGCTCTGCTGCCATAGCACCACGGACCACCACCACCATGCGCCAAAAGACGGACAAGCATGGGGACGGAAGATTTGCACAGAATGAAACACAAGGAGGGGGAGCGAGGGACGTTGGTTGGGACGGATGGGGAGCGAGCGAGGGCCGGAGAGGAGACTTAGCTACAGGAGAAGCGTGGACGCAGAGAGGGAGTCGCCCAAGGCAGGGCAGCAGAACTCCTCCCGGGCGACAGCAGCAAGCAGCAGCGCCCCATACGGCTCGTCTCCATCATCCACACACCGTCGGTTGCATGTGGCGTGCGATTGGTTGGCTGCTGGCTTGTGCATACCACCGCACACGGAACGCCCCACTCTGCAAGTCGCCACACACTGGTGATGCTCCTTGAGTGCTTCCCTGCAAGCAAAATAAAGGGGAGAATCACCCAGAGTGAAGGCAAGGTGTTGCGTGAGGTGCTGCAGACGCATTGAGAGATTGAGAGCAAGCCAGAATGCAAACACAGACAGACCGGGAATGAAGCAGAATTGGAAAAGGGCAGCAGGCAACGCAAAGGCAAGCGAGCTTAAAGAGGACACGACGAGAAACGTAAGGTAGGAGGAAAGAGCGGGATGGAGGGGGGAGGAGGAGACGGAAGCAGGAAGCAGAAGGGAGCAGGAGGGAGGAGGGAGGAGGGAGGTGCTACTAGCAGGGGTTCGGCCATGCGGGTTCGGTCGTGCGGGGTCTGACGTACCATAATGGCAGCGATGGCATGGGCGTGGGTTTCAAGGACTGGCGTTGACTGGCGTTGACTGATGTTGACTGATGTTGACTACCATGCTGCTGCAGCCAGCGCTGTGCGGCTCTGCCACCTGCACTCTGTTCGCCCTGAGGCCAGAGGGGGACAAGGCACAGGGAGAAGTAGATGCAAAGGAAAAGGATCGGCCTCGGAACTTGAAACGAATGGGAGCAGCAAGAACGCCAAGGTGGCAAGGCAATAGAGCAGAAGCAGTGAAGAGCGAGCACTGAGAAACTTGAAAAAGGAGCACAGCGAAAATAGAGTGGTTGAATCGTGGAGAGGGGGGAACGGGGAAGGCGCATGGCGACAGTGGCCCACGGCAGCACAGCGGCGAGCTGAGCCAGCGAGGGGGGACTGGGGTAGAGAGGGACGCGTGGATGGCATGAATGCACTCCCTCTCCACTAATCTCTCCCACCACTCCCACTACACTGCACTCTACATGAGCTCTGCTGCCATAGCACCATGGACCACCTCCACCATGCGCCAAGCAAGTCATGGCATGTGATGGGAGATGAGGAGAGGTGAAGTTTGGCAGCAGTGAAAGAGACGGAATAAGACAGCAAGGGAGGAGGTGAGGTGAAGAGAGGGGGGCAAAGAGGAGACTTAGCTACAGGAGAAGTGTTGAAGCTGCTTCTGGGACGTGATATGGTCATCGGCACATCAGCGCATCCGATTTGTCACCAGCATCCGCACAGAGTCGCGCTGTTGGTCGCCGTCATCCGAACACGGTCGCACTCGGTAAATCGCCATCATCCGCACACCGTCGCACGGGGACCGTCGCACGCGGCTCGTCCCCAGCATCCGCACAACGTCGCACGCGGTTCGTCGCATGCCGTTCGTCGCACATCGCCGCATGCGGCATGCCCCCAGCATACGCACAACGTTGCATGAGGAACGTCGCACGCGGTAAATAGCCATCATCCGCACACCGTCGCACGTAGTAAATCGCCAGCATCCGCACACCGTCGCACGGGAAACGTCGCACGCGGTTCGTCCCCAGCATCCGCACAACGTCGCACGCGGTACATCGTATGCCGTTCGTCGCACATCGACGCAGTCGCCAGCATCTGCACGCCGCACGCGAAAACGTCGCACGCGGTTGGCAGCCGTCGTCCGCACACAGTCGCACTCGCCATCATTCGCACACCGTCGCACAGGGAACGTCGCATGCAGTTCGTCGCCGTCTTCCGCACACTGTTGCACGGGAAACGTCGTACAACGTCGCACGCGGTACGTCGCATGCCGTTGGTCGCACATCGTCGCGTGCGCCATGTCGCCAGCATCCGCACAACGCCGCACGCGGAAAGTCGCATGCGGAAAGTCGCACGCGTTACGGCACCATTTTCCGCATAACGTCGCACGCGGTAAGTCGCCGTCTTCCGCAGACGGTCGCACGCGGTAAGTCGCCATTGTCCACACACCGTCGCACAGGGAACGTCGCACGCGATTCGTCGCCATCTTCCGCACATCGTCGCATGCGGTATGCCGCCAGCATCCACACAACGTCGCACGCGGAACGTCGCACGCAGTTGGTCGCGCTTTCCGCACGCGGTAAGTCGACATCATCAGGACATCGCCGCATGCAGAACGTCGCAAGCGGAACGTCGCACGCGAAACGTCGTACGCGGTTGGTCGCCATCACCCGCATGGTTGCTCGTGGTTCGAGAGCCGCTCGCCGATTTCCGCGCACGTTACTAGTCGCTCACTGTTCGTCAATAGCCGTTCGCCATTCGCTGCTCAATGCTCGCCATTCGCCAGTCGCCGATCGCCGCTATCCGCTCTTCTTTCGCCGCTCACGTCAGGTCAACACCGACGACGGGCCTCGCACCCCTTACTCGGCGACGACGGTCCCCGTACGGGACGCCGGATGCCGGTCGCCTTGATACGTGAACTTCCACAGGCCAAACCATCCTCGAAGAACGCCGATAGATATGGAGCTCGGCGAATCCGTGTATGGAGTTCCAACGGGTTTTATTGCAAAAAGTCGAGTTCCGCCAAGAAGACCGACATCAGTCATCGCAAACACCTGCTTCCGTCGTCCTGCTTCAATCGTCCGAGTGCTTTTCTTATCGCTGATGATGACACTCGTAGACCACCACCGAGCTATTCTGACGTGAAAACTGTCGATGCTGTAAGCAATTGCTGTTAGAAGATTCCGTGCTACTGATGCTACCTGAAGATGCTAGAAACCGCTCGTATGTCATTCCTGACACAGCTTAACGTCCTGACACAGCTTACTAAGGTAGTTAACTGGGATCGCCGACGGTGCTGCTTCACGTATCATGATGCATGATTCAGGTGGCCTGGACTTCACGTTCAGCTATCGGCGACTCGTAGCAGCCATCGGCCGAGTAGTTGGATGCTATTCCGGGACGAAGCTCAAACGTAAGAAGAGACATACGCTCTAACTAAAGCGTTCGGAACCTTATCAGGAGCAGGTAATCAGGGATCATGTTGCTGAGCTAAGAATTACGGTGACCTTTCAGCCTATCATAATCTAGACGCTGTAACACTACGGAAGTAGCATTCGCGGTAACTAAAACGTCGGAACTTCCTTAGCGGCTATAAGCTAACATTCAGCCTATCGAAAGCTAGATGCTGACACGCCTTACTCCCATGCGACAGAACTTATCGACTGTCATAGCTAAGCCTGACAATACATACAGAGATATGCTGTTACTGTCATAGCTAAGACTAACAATATGCGCTTCGTAACAAACGTAGTCTGTAATTAGCTACATCTTTTAGGAATGTCGACAGCAGCCATGGAAAGCTGAGGAAGCCATGGATGCAAGGATGTGCTAACGCTGACTGGAATTTGGCTGAGGTGACTGGAATGGCCTTGGGAATGTCCCCGTTGACCTGGTCTCGAGAAGGCTGCATGAAGCTAGGAGTCGCCAAAACAGAGGCTTCCGCTGGTCTCCGCCCGCCGCTCAGGACAGCGCAAACCATTCGTTAGCGAATGACAAGAGAGATTCAGACAACTTTCGCCACGAAAACGGAGTCCATCTCAGCCGGACGAAGCGCAGTTTTGCCGCGCGGGAGACTTCAACAGCAGGCGCTCTGAAAAAATATTCGGCCCAAATATAAGTTAGGTCATCACCGCATGTTTCTTATCTATCATCAGTGACCACTTGCAATGTGTAGAGACCAATTGTATCGTATCGAGACCAGCAGTAAGTGGTGAGATTGTTCATTTGCAGCGTTGTTGTGACAATACAGGGTTGCAGGACCAGCACGAATCGCGAACGCCCCACAAGATCACCCTCGACGACAATTTCATTGCTTGTTTGGCGGATTCATCGAGCCGCCTTCACGAGAAACAACATTTTGAGAAGAGTGTAAGTCTCAGAAATCACCCTTTATTATGAAAAGTTTGCAAAGAACAACGCTTAGGTGTGTCTCGTTGCATACTTGTGCTCTGCTTTGAGAATGCTGACGCTCCTACCCAGATGCTCATGATGGATTCCCGCTGTGTGTGTTCCATATTGGGAGTTTAAAAGATCAATTATGAGAACCTACACATAGAAAGGGGGTTCGTGTTGGCAAATTTCTCACCCAAAGATGCAGCCTGATGACTTCGGGGCTCATCCGCAACCGCCATTCCCCAGGGTCTAATAAATGGAGAGCTTCTTTCAGTCCGAACAGACCAAACCGCATTCCGTGAGCTGTGTATTCTCACGACTTTCAACCGAGGTGAGGTCCTTCTTGACCCGTTTAGCATCATCGTGCTCCTGCTATCACCGTGTCCCATGTTGTTTCACCCGAAAGTCCGTTGACGATCGTCCAGTCTGATTTTGCTGAACTGCTTCGAAGCCTTATACACATAGATGCCATCACACTTCCCCAATCGCATTGCTATCACCGCCGCAGGTCATTAGCCAGAAGGAGAATTTCAGCTTATTAAGTCGCCAACAGCTATGGCTTTCCGTGAGATACGCTTTCGCCTTTACTCAGCGCGGGGAGTCAAGCGACCAGCGCCGCACATAGCTATCCATCCCGTAGCTGTGGTGTCACTTCCGGGGTTTGATCCCACGACTTATCAGAGCAGGCGCATGGACGAGCCGTGCGATGACCCCAAGTGGGACGAAACGTTCATCTTTCAGATTCGCGCCGACTGTGTTCGCACTGCTGCTGCGGTAAGCGCTCTTTCTATCTCAACTGCACTTGTGTGTGTTATGAATGCAACATTTCCTCTCACACGTGGTTTTACTAATACTCAACGTTTTGATTGCATGACCCATCTGCTGTGTGTTCCAAGCAGATTGTAATCCAGGTATTTAGCGACAGCGACCTCTCTTTTTACTGTGGCGCCGCAGTCGTCCGGCTATCCGTAGCCCAAGCGGAGAAGCACCGCATTCCGCTCGTCGACCAATCAGGTGTCAGAAACGGTTACGTCAAGCTATCAATCGCCATAAGTCAACACATTATTACCGAGCCTGAAACGGCCGGCTCATTCGACGGCGCCCACGCGGGATTCGTCGGTGCACATGCCGGAATGATTGCTGGGCCGGGTGTCCTTGTCCCACCTCCTCTGCACGCCGCCACCGGTACTGGCGCCTACATGCCCGCGGTGGGGCCTTATGGCGCGCCCCTTGCACATCCTGCTCCTTTCGCGGGGCTCTCACCGCCGCTGGGCTACATGGGCGTGCCTCCGCCTGTGGCGGAGGAAGCGGGGGAAGGATGGGATGAAGAGAATACTGAGGCGGAAGAGATGGCGGAAGAGCGTCCCCCGACTCTGAAGAGCGTTGGGCGGAGCAAGAGCTGGGGGCAAGGGCTGTTCGACGGGATCATGCGCCTGGTGCGGAGCAAGTCCGGCCGGTTCGAAAGAGAGGAGAAAGTGAAGGAGAATGGGCAGGGTGATGAGGCAGGACAGGAGCAGTATGAGAGCAAGGAGTGGCACGGGGAAACGGAGAATGTGGAAGGGGGGAAGAAAGACAGGAGGCTTAGGAGAGGAAGGAGCATTGGGAACTGGCTCGGACTGGGAGGAGACCATGAGGAGACGTCATTTGATGTGGAGGGGACGGGTGTTAAAATGGCAGGGAACGGTGACCTGGCTCATAATGGCTATGGGATGGGCTGGGGTATGGGCTTTGCTAGCGCCAATGATATGGATAGGGTGACAGGAGCAGCACCAGGTGCCGGCATCAAAGCCATCGGTTAAAAAATGGATTTTGTGACACTATTTTGTAGGCTGCTCTAATTTTTTGGTTCACTTGTATTCATAGTTTTGAGCCAGTTGTATTAGCAATACGTTTTGTGTTTCATTGTTTTTGTTGTAAGAGGGCCAGCTTATGTCCACACTGTTACCTATACCTTGCGTTGTATCGCATCGAGATGTCTCCCGCCACTCTGTCGGTGGTCATCAATTTCCACCAATGATCTTCAGCCCTTCTGACGGCGCTTTGAGCTGACAATCCTTTGAATTTCAGGCAGATCCTGACGGGCAGCTATTTCTCCCGCCAATACACACCTCTTCACATTACACCTGCCACACGTTTGCACTTCCAGAATTGTGGCGGTTGCAGCTGGAAAACATGCCCAGAAATGCTGGTTCCCCTTCATAGACTGACGGATTGGGGACGTGAAGGGCAAAAAAAACGTCAACAACAACCCCTCAAGCATTCGAGTCGCGACTCAAACAGTTTCAACCGAGTCGCTTCCGCAGACCTGTCTTGAATACTGCCGCCCCCCTGACCAATTAGGGACAAGAAAAAATTGCGGCAGTCAGCGAAAAAATGTTGAATAAACAATTGCGGGCCAGACATCATTGGAAGAAAGCCCAAAAACTACCCTTCCCTCTTCTGCCGCTTGCCTGATTGTCAGTTTTGATGGGCTGCCCCTGCCCGATACAGAGCAGTTGGTTCGTTGTTGGGCTGCTCCTGGCTTGTACTGTACTCTCTTCCTCCCATCAAACCCCCCCCCAAACTAGTCATTCCAAAACCAGCATCCTCCTGCCATCCATACATCCCTCAACGGAATGGCAGCCCGCCGTCGCCACCGTTGTGCACCATGCGCCGTCACTATTACTTCGGGAACTTTTGAGTTAGCGGGCGCCATTCGCGCGAGCGCGTCATGCTGCTTAGAGTCTTGCGGGCGGAACCGATCAGCAAGCAGCCTGTACGAACGGTAGATGGCAGCAGACTTTATGCGCCAACCGGAGCAGGCGCCACGTCCTTATGGCAATCAGCTATCGTTTAAAACCGGAGTCTCAAGTATCCCGAAGTTGCCTCATCCTTCCTACTTTTGGTTGGGTCACAAAGTCCAACCAAGCTTCCTACCTTTGGTTTTGTCACTAAGTCCAACCAACCTTCCTACCTTTGAAACCTGTGGACCCTGGGTTTTAAGCTTTACACCTTATTAGTGGCGTTCTCCCTCCGATCCGCGCTGCGGTGTTAGCTCGAATTTTTGTCAGCGGGTGCTTTTGAAGTTGATTCGATACCTCCTTCACAACTCGTGACGCCAGACGTGCGCATTCCCCATTTCTAGCCCCGCAACCGATAGTCCAGCACCGTCCACTTAACACCGTCATGGCGCATCGACGCTGCTCCGCACTCCTGCCGCGGAGGAGCACCAAGGGTCGGCGGGGCGACCTCCGCCCCGCGTCCTCCGCGCACCTGCCGCTGCTCTGCGCGTGCCTATTCTTGCTGCTACTACAGAAACCACTGCGCGCCGATGCCGCCGTCACCGACGTGTACAAGCCCTTCTGCGACAGCAGCAGCTACGTGGATCCTCCACCCAGCGGTGAGACCGCAGCAGCTTCCTTTCAAACCGCCTTTCAATCCGCGTTTCAATCCGCGCTACACTTCGCCTTTCATTCCGCCTTTCGTAAGGGACGCGCCAGATTCGGAGGGTACTGTTTGGCCTTACCAATGGCCCATCCGCTCCGCTCCCCCCTCCCAACTAAGTTGAACCCGCCTATCTTCCAATCCGCCTCCCCTAGTACAGCCCATTCCCCGCTCCGAATACAGCCCTCATGTTCCCCCATGTTGAAACACCAGCATTCTCCACCCATCATCCTCCCGCTTCCCCCTGACAACCCATTCCCCCCGCGCCGTCCCCGGGACCCGCCCGCATGTTCCGCCGGATTTCCCCGCGGCAGGGTGGAAGAAGTGGAGCGACCCGGCGACGTGGCCGGCGGGGAAGGTGCCGGGCGTGGGCATGAGCATGGGCGTGAACGCCACCGTGCCGTGCGGCGTGGGTGTGCTGCTGGACACCAACGTCACGCTCTACCTCCTCGAGATCAACGGCTGGCTCAAGTGCGTACTTTGATGCACCCATGCGCTTATGCGCCCATGCACCCATGCGCCCTTACGCCACGGTGCCGTGCTGCGTGGGTGTGCTTCTGGACACCAACGTCACGCTCTACCTCCTCGAGATCAACGGCTGGCTCAAGTGCGTAGTATGCAGCCACCCACCCGCTTTCCACCTCCATGCGGTTCTTGGCATGAATGCCGCTACTATTGAAAAGGATGTAGGCCTCCGCCGCCCGCCTGTCCGATATACTGACACGACCGGCTGACTCTTACGCACGCCGCGCCATTTTCTAGCATCAGCGTTGGTTTCTTTTCTACCCAGAGCTAGCTCCTCTTCCCCGTCCGCTTCGCTGCGCGTCCGTAAACCTGCTCAGCCGATATTCCCCCTCCCCATTCGCCGCGTCCCCCCGTCCCTCTCCGTTCCCCGCGTCCCCCGCGTCCCCGCACTGCGCAGGGTGGAAGCGCTTGGTCCGCTGCAGGTAATGGCGGCGTTCATTTTGAATCAAGGCCGCGTCACCGTCGGCACCGCCGCGGCGCCGTACCGCGGCTGGCTAACAGTCAACCTAACCGGCGCCGCCAACGAGCTCACCATCACGCGGCCCCCCGCCGCGCCGTCCCAGCCGCGCTCCGTCGGCGTGCGAGTGTTCGCCACCGTCGGCGGGCGGCTCGAGCTCAACGGCATGTACGGCAACGCGCCCTCGTGGACGACGCTCGCCGCGACTGCCGGCGCGGGCGCGACGAGCATTCGGGTGAAGGGCGACGTGACGGCGTGGCCGGTGGGCGGGGTGATTGCCATCGCGTCGACGGATTTCGACCGTTACCAGGCGGAGAACTTCACGATTACGTCTGTGGCTGCTGGTGGGTGCATGGGAGGCCGATAGTGAATCTCACGTTTACGCGTCAATTGCGTCCGTTGCCTTGGGCGAGTGGGAGAGTGAGCGAGAGAGTGAGCGAGAGAGTGAGTGAGAGAGTGAGTGAGCAAGTGCGCAAGGTAGTGAGTGAGCGACTGAGTGAGCAAGAGAGTGAGCGACTGAGTGAGCAAGAGAGTGAGCGACAAAGCCGCGAAAGCTCAAGAGATGCTTTGTTTTCAGATGACCACATGAGCGGCTCACTCACAGTCTTTCCTTCCTTTCTCCACCTCCCACTCACAGCCCTGCTCAATGCCACCAATGCCTTCCTCCTTCACACCCCCCTCTCCCCACCCCCTTCCCCACCCGGCCCCCCTTCTTCCTCGCTTACTACTCCTCGCGGCGCCTCTTTCCCCAAATCCCGCACCAAACCTGCAGGTCCGGGCAACACGACGGTGCTGGGGCTGGGGGGCGCGCTGGCGTGGATGCACTGGGGGGAGGCGGTGACATCCGGCGCGGCGGCGGGGGCGGGCGCGACGGTGGACGAGGCGGCGGAGGTGGCGCTGCTGTCGCGCGCGATCGTGATTCAGGGCCACCAGAACCCCGAGGACCCGCTGATCGGCGGGCATTTCATGGTGATGCAGACGGCGGAGCGGCAACTCATCAAAGGCGTCGAGCTCGTCAACATGGGCCAGCAGGGCAGCCTCGGCCGCTACCCCGTTCACTTTCACCTCTGCCAGGATGTCACGGGCTCGGTGGTTAGCAGCTGCAGTGTGCATGAGAGTAATCAGCGGTGCTACGTGGTGCACGGCACGTGGAATCTGCGGCTGGAGTGGAATCTGGGGGTTAATACCAAGGGGCATTGTTTCCTGCTGGAGGATGCGATTGAGTTTGGCAACACGTTCCTCAACAACCTTGGCTTCCTGCAGGTCTGCTTGTGCTTGTGCTTGTGCTTGTGCTTGTGCTTGTGCTTGTGCTTGTGCTCCTGTGTCGGCTCGTGTACGCTCCTGTGTGTGTGCTCTCTGTGCTCTCTTTCCCACCCACTCCCCACTCTTCCCCCCTCTCTCCCCCTCCTCCTGGCACCCCCAACCAGGAGCCAGTGAAGCGTCTGCTGCAGCCCACGGACGCCGTTCCAGCCACACAGAGCGACGACGCGCCGTCCACGTTCTGGATCACCAACCCCAACAACACCTTCATTGGGAATGTCGCCGCCGGCTCGTTCGACTCGGGGTGAGTCGTGTTTTGAGTCAACTCAGAACACGTCCACGTTCTGGATCACCAACCCCAACAACACGACGTTCATTGGGAATGTTGCTGCAGGATCGTTCGACTCTGTGACTCTGCAGGGTGCGCCTGCCATCTGCTGCTCTCCTCTGTAATTCTGCAGGGCGTTTGAATAGTGATAGAGCAACCCTGTTTCTCTGGACTGTCATGTGCTGTCTGTGCTCCTCATGTGGTCCCCATGGCCCCCCTCCTTCTCCCCCTCCCTCGCCCTGCTCCCTCAACACGCCAGCTTCTCAAATCAGTTACCCTGCAATATTTTCAGCGCCTCAAAAATCTACTTTCTCGGCCCGTTTCCTCCCGCGACCACCAGCTTCTGGTTCCAGCTCCCGGGGCGGGTGGAGGGGCCGTCCGCGCTCTTCCCCAACGCGGCAGGGGTGACGCCGTTCCTGATCCCCCTGGGCCCGTTCGTGGGCAACGCGGCACACTCCAACGGCCGAGCAGGGCTGCGCACGTACCCCTCGGGGTACCGCCCGCGCCTCAACGGGGGGGTCTCCAACGTGCAGGACAAGTCCGGGATCAACGCGGTGAGGCTCTTCTCCGCTCGGTGCCGTGCGGTGCTGTGAGGTGCTTGCCTGGAGTTTTTCTGTGTCTTTGGGGTTGTCTGTGTCTCTGCTGAAGCGTGTCGGCCTACCTATGTCTCATCCTTGTTCTGCTGTAGCTGTTGTGACTCGCTTTCTCATGTTCCGGGCTCGTGTTCTTTCGACTCCTCTCCTCTCCTCTCCTCTCCTCTCCTCTCCTCTCCTCTCCTCTCCTCTCCTCTCCTCTCCTCTCCTCTCCTCTCCTCTCCTCTCCTCTTCTCTCCTCTCCCAACAGCCGCAAGTGAACATCACAATGACCAGCTTTCGGGCGTACAAGAACCAGTTCACAGGGTGAGTGAATGGGTAGAGGGAGGCCCCGAACGGCAGGGGATGGACGGGAGTAGAGTAAGTAAGTAATGACGATAAAGAGCACCGCTTTCCTTCTGCAACTCCTGTTCTTCTGTGTGGGTGGCAATGCTGCACAAGGCCGATTCAATGACTCCTCCTTGACTCACCACCATCCTCCTGCCTTTTGCATGAGCTCGAAATGTACCCATCCCACCCCATCCCATCCCATCTTCCTCCCCTCCCCTCCATCCTCTTCATCCTCCCAGCATGTTCATCCACAATTCGGACGGCGTGCACATAAGGGGAGCGCGGGTGGCGGACAATGCTGTGGTGGGCATCGAACTTAACCGCGACCAGGCCGTTGTGGTGAGTATGCTATGCGCCTTGCCTCTCCACTTCGCCTCTCCAGAGTGGTTCACCTTGCCGCACAGATTTTGCCTCTCCACGTTGCTGCAAGCTCCACGTGGCTTACCCTGCAGCACCATCCCATGCACTCACTCTCCCTCTCCATCGTTTCCTCTCCTCCCCACCCCTCTCTCCCTCTCGTTCTCCTCTCGTTCCGTCTCCCTTCAGATAGCAGACTCGGTGTTCATAGGCGAGTCGGCCAACATAGGCAACCCCACCATGTGCGACAACCCCAGCAACACCCTTCTGTTCTCTCTTCCTTCTCACCACCGTTCCCCCTCCCTCTTCCCACCAACCCTTCTCCCTTCAGATAGCGGACTCGGTGTTCATAGGCGAGTCGGCCAACGTAGGCAACCCCACCATGTGCGACAACCCCAGCAACACCTTTGGCGGCTGCAAGGCGCTCGCCTCCGCTGGCGTCTGCGACCTGCCGCTGCCACTCGCCAAGGTAAGGGGACTTGGGTGAGAGAGGCACGTGTGAAGCATGCGAGTGAGCGCAAGGTGGGCACAAGGTGGCCACAAGGACGTGGGCATGCATGAGCTCATTGATTTTGGGATGCACATTATTAAGCGACCCAAACTCCACGCCACACCCATCATTCCCTTCTATTTTCCTCCCCCCCTCTCTCACCTCTCCTCCCTCCTCCCCCCTCCCCTTCCCCCTCCCCCTCCCCCTTATCCCTCTCCCCCCTCACCAGGCGTGCTCCAACAGTCGCACAGTGACTCGTTATGCACCCAATTACGCCATTTGAGGCGTCTCAAAAGCCCTCCATCCGCTTCCCACTCCCTCCTCTTCTCCCTCCATTTCCTGTGTGTCCTTGTCCTCCTCTCCCCTTCTCGCCCCTCACCAGGCGCGGTCCAACAGTCGCACAGTGAGTCGCTACGCGCCCAAGTACGGCATTCTAATCGACCAGGCGGACCCACCGGCCCACGGGTGGAGCATGGGCGTGCCTCACCGCATCGTCAACTGCTCCTTCTCCGGCTACTACCCGCGCTGCCACCCCGCTGCTGCCATCTCCCGTGCGTGCTTGCCGTTTCTTTATTCCAGTGGTTCTTAAGAACTTCTGGTCTCTTCTTAGTTCTCCTTCCTTCTTTTGTTCTTTCGTTTGTCGTTCTCACACCCGCCCACATGTCCAACCCCACAACCCCCCCATTCCGCAATCCAGCCAACGGGCATTCAGCGTACATCTGGCCGGCAACATACACCAGCAGCAGCCTCAACTTCCCTGACGCCGCCTCCCCCGCGCTCTACCTCGTGCCGCGCAACCGCGGGCAGCTGGGCTTTGACGGCGGGTACGGGGACGGCCGTACCCACCCACCTGCCCAGTCAACCCGCCAACCCCCACCGTTTGCTCCTTCTGGTTCCCCTTTCTTCCTTCATTTGCACGCACCCCCCCAACCCCCCCCCCCACCCCTCCAACCCACCAGCCAACGGGCATTCAGCGTACATCTGGCCGGCAACATACACGAGCAGCGCTCTCACCTTCCCTGACGCTGCCTCCCCTGCGCTCTACCTCGTGCCGCGCAACCGCGGGCAGCTGGGCTTTGACGGCGGGTACGGGGACGCGGGGCCGCTGGCGGGCACGTATGTGTGGCGCGACGAGGACGGGTCTGTGGTGGGCGGAAGTGGAGGGTTTGCCGTGGCGAATAACACCGCTCTACTGCCGGCAGGGGATGTGTGTGTTGCGGTAAGTTGTGGGGCTTTGATGGCGGGTATGGGGACGCGGGGCCGCTGGCGGGCACGTACATGTGGCGCGACGAGGACGGGTCCGTGGCGGGAGTGGAGGGTTCGCCGTGGCGAATAACACCGCTCTACTGCCGGCAGGGGATGTGTGCACTGCGGTGAGTGGATTCGGTTTTGGGCATTCTCAGGAGCGAATAACACTGTGGTGGTACGGTACCTACCCAAGAGGGATGTGGCTCCCCAAGAAAAAGGATCTCTTGAAACGGTTCAACTCCTTGCCTGCTTTCAGCCCACTCACACTCACACCTGTTCCCATGCGCAATACTCCTATTTTAAGGTACTCACTCCCCTTTCCACGCTCACACTCCTCCCTCGCCCAACCTCCCCAGAAGCCCGAGTGGAACGGCTATGCATGTCCAGGCACGTGCTACCGCACAGTCTCCATCCAAGGGGGTAGCGCCGACTTCACACTGGTCCCAGCCGGAGGGAGCAGCAGCAGCAGCAGCAGCAGCAGCAGCAGCAGCAGTGGCGGGGGGAGCATATCGAGCAATGGCGCGCAGTTTGCGAACGTGCTGGCGGGGAGAGCGTATGTGGTGACTTCTGGAGGGAGCGGCTCTGGTGCTGCTGCTGCTGCGCCAGCGTCGTACACGGTGTCGTATGCGGATGGGGGGTTTGGGTGCACGCTGCCCGTGGTGCTGCAGTTCCCGCTGCCCCGGGCGGGATACACGTGGCAGCTGTCTCCCTCCGATGACATCTTCTGGCAGTACGTGTTGGCAAGGGGGGTATGCTTGGGTCACTTTTGAGACTTCTCACACGTGGCAGCTGTCTCCGTCCGATGACATCTTCTGGCAGTACGTGTTGGCAAGGGGGGTATGCTTGGGTCACTTTTGAGACTTCTCACACGTGGCAGCTGTCTCCGTCCGATGACACCTTCTGGCAGTACGTGTTGGCAAGGGGGGTATGCTTGGGTCACTTTTGAGACTTCTCACACGTGGCAGCTGTCTCCCTCCGATGACATCTTCTGGCAGTACGTGTTGGCAAGGGGGGTATGCTTGGGTCACTTTTGAGACTTCTCACACGTGGCAGCTGTCTCCCTCCGATGACATCTTCTGGCAGTACGTGTTGGCAAGGGGGGTATGCTTGGGTCACTTTTGAGACTTCTCACACGTGGCAGCTGGCTCCGTCCGATGACATCTTCTGGCAGTACGTGTGCTGCACTGCACATGCAGACTGGGGGTTGAGGCGGGGGGGGGGGTGGGAAGAGGGAGGGGAGTTTTGAGACGCCTCAAAACTCGTGGCAGCTGGCCTGGCTCCATCTGATGAAATCCTCTGGCAGTATGTGTTGGCGAGGAGGGTACGTACATCTGATGATGTGCTTGGTTCACACTTTTGAGACTTCTCTCACACGTGGCAGCTGGCTCTGTCAGATGGTATCCTGACAAAGAGGGGAAGGGAGGGCGGATGGAGACTGGAAGGACGTAGGAAAGAAGGAGAGATAGAGGGATAAAGGGACTCGGGAAGGTTGGGGGGGTTGAGACGAGTGGAGCGCGATGTGAATATGTTTGCCTATCTAGAGGGTTGTATTCTATGCCCTGCCATTCATCCCTTGCAGTTCCTTGCCCCAATCGTTTTCGCACTCGTTCCTTGTTTTGCGATACCCTTCCTTGGTCCCGCCCTCACCCGTTAACCCCATCTCCCTCCTGGCCCATCCCTTTGCCTTGTCCCCTCCATCAGGGCGTGCAGCGGAGTGACTGTACCGTTTGCGACAATAGCCCAGGCGCAGTGGCTGTGTCTGGACGCTGCTCCCGTGCTGCAGGTGTCCCTCGGTGCCAACTCCTCCGCTACTGTTGTTCTCACACAGGTCCCCGGCAAATTCTCCTGCGTGAACATGTGAGCTTGTCGGGTCGGGTGGCCCTGGGTCTTGGTTCCGCTGTGTGTTCTATTCGCCTGTAATGTAACTCACTGCCCTGCTGCCCTGCTGCTCAGCTGCTCAGCTGCCCTGCTTCCATCCTTCCACATGCACCCATCTCTCACTCCCTTCTCCCTATCTCTCCTTCTCCACTTCGCATCTCATTCACGCCCCACCATTTCCCCGCCCCATCCCCACCCCACCCGTACACCACAACCCTCCCTGCGTTCACCCGTACACCAGTCAATGCGGCATAATCCCGCCCTCCGCCAACTGGAGCTACAGCGACGCCATGAAGTACCCGCCTGAGTTCCTCGCGTACGCGCCGCCCGCCAGGTGGAAGGTGGGGCGCGCGCCCTTTGGCTACGGCGGCCAGGGCGAGGTCACCACCGTCGCACACGCTGGCCCGGTATGGGCTCCGGTAGGCCCGTGGCTCTCTCGTTAGTAGGCCCCCGCTAGGGGCTCCGATAGGGTTTTGTTCAATCCGGTAGGCCCATGGCTCGCGCTCTCGCTCTCTCTCTCGCTCCTTCGCTGATAAGACTTTGTTTCTCTTCGGTAGGGCCGCTGCTGTCTCCGTTAGGTGGAGACTTTGCTCCTTCGCCGATAAGACTTTACTAGGAGGTTCGTTGCAAACTTGCAAGGCCTTGCTCCAAAAGTTGAGCTATGTGCTGCGTGTATGGTAGTTCTGTTCGTTGTTCTCTCTCCGGAACACGGGGTGTGACCACTTTCTGCTCGTCAACCTCTCTGCCGCTGTAGCTCTTTTGCTTGAGTAAGCTTAACTACACATCTGCTGCTCTCTGAGAAGTATGACTGAGCATCGCTCAGGCAAGCAGGGTGTGACATTCAACCACTCTGCCACTGTCGACACACCTGAAACGTCCGTTCCTGCATCCATCACCCCCCCTTCCCCTCCTCTCCTCTCAGGGCGCGCTGGCGTGGTATTTCCGCGCGTCCTTCTCGCTCAAGTACGCGGGGTGTTACCGCTCGCTGCTGTTTGGCTACAAGGCGAGTGACGGCATAGTGGTGTATGTCAACGGCGCCGAGGCCTTCCGCTCCAACATGCCCGCTGCTTCCTCCTCCACGCCTGTCACCATCTCCACGCCCGTGAGTGGTCGCTGGGATGGTTGCTGGGTGCCTGAGTGGGCTGTGCGTGGTCCATGGGTAGGTGGTGGGTGCATGTGGTATTACCCACCTGCACCTCCAACATGCCCGCTGCTTCCTCCTCCACTCCTGTCACCATCTCCACGCCCGAGTGGTCGCTGGGATGGTTGCTGGGTGCCTGAGTGGGCTGTGCGTGGTCCATGGGTAGGTGGTGGGTGCATGTGGTATTACCCACCTGCACCTCCAACATGCCCGCTGCTTCCTCCTCCACTCCTGTCACCATCTCCACGCCCGTGAGTGGTCGCTGGGATGGTTGCTGGGTGCCTGAGTGGGCTGTGCGTGGTCCATGGGTAGGTGGTGGGTGCATGTGGTATTACCCACCTGCACCTCCAACATGCCTGCTGCTTCCTCCTCCACGCCTGTCACCATGGGTCACCTTGACTCATGTTCGAAGGGCTGCAGTGGTTGAATGAACGCTTAGCAAAGGAACAACAGTGAAAAATTCAAGTGAAAAAACGCAGATCTGAAAAACCCTTAGCTTCCGAAAAGCCAACCACTGCAGCCCTTCGAACATGAGTCAAGGTGCACCTCCAACATGCCTGCTGCTTCCTCCTCCACGCCTGTCACCATCTCCACGCCCGTGAGTGGTCGGTCGGTCAATAGGTCGATAGGTGGTCGGTGGGTGGGTGCAGTGCAACCACAAGCTTCCCCTTTTGCCTCCCTTCCCCCTCAACAACCCTCCACCCCACCACTGCATTTCCAATTTTCGCCTCCTCACCCACACTGCCCATGCGTTTCGGACAATCACCCACCTTACCCGGTCCCGTGCACTCTACTACCCCAAACAGGCCGTGATAGACGCGAGCCCACGAGCCCCGTGGTCCACAACAATAGTTCCAGTGAGCGACGTGCGGCTCATGTCAGGGCGCAACTCCATCATGGTGGAGCTGCATGCCACTCACTCACATGCGGACCGAATCTGCAGGAGGGTCGATGGTGTGTGGTAGCCTCATCCAGAGGATTTCTAACCCAAGTTCCCCCCTCCCTCCTCTTCCCCGCTCTCCTCCCCTGTGCCCCTACTCCTTCCCACTGCCCACCCTTCCCCATGCACACCGCCACTCCCAAACAGGCCGTGATAGACGCGAGCCCACGAGCGCCGTGGTCCACAACAGTAGTCCCAGTGAGCGACGTGCGGCTCATGTCAGGGCGCAACTCCATCATGGTGGAGCTGCATGCCACTCACTCACATGCGGACCAGATCTGCAGGAGGATTGATAGTGTGTGGTAGCCTCATCCAGAGGATTTCTAACCCAAGTTCCCCCCTCCCTCCTCTTCCCCGCTCTCCTCCCCTGTGCCCCTACTCCTTCCCACTGCCCACCCTTCCCCATGCACACCACCACTCCCAAACAGGCCGTGATAGACGCGAGCCCACGAGCCCCGTGGTCCACAACAATAGTACCAGTGAGCGACGTGCGGCTCATGTCAGGGCGCAACTCCATCATGGTGGAGCTGCATGCCACGCAGGCGTACGCATGGGAGGTGCACCTCAACATGTGGGTTGCTGCTGTCGGCTCCAGCTGCCCCCTCACGCGCTTCTTTGACCAGCGCTCCTCGCTCGCGTTCACTGCTGCCGCTGCTGGTATTGGCGCTGGTGCGTCTGCCGGCAAATGATGGAGAGGAGAGGAGGAGGAACAGCAACAGGTGTTTTGATTGGTTTTGGAGTGACGGCTGCTTCTGGAGAAGGCTTCTGGACTGGACTGAAGCCATCTACAGGTTTGCTGGAGCAATAATTTTGGTTGGTTCAGGGCATACGGTACCGAAGGTAGATGGTCCTTGAGGGGAAAAGTCAAACACTGATGGTGTCTATGTAGCACTGTGCTGTGGCAGCTGAGGCTGCTGTATGAGGGAATGGTTGGGGCTGCTGTGCTGTATTGTTGATGGAATGAACAAGCTGCTACAGCATCATTGGAGTATCATAGTTTAGAACAGCCATAGCAGCAGCTTCGTCAGGAGTATCTTCATTTAGGTACTGAGCAGATGGACTACCAAGGAGAATCAGGTCGTATCCCTGGCTAGTGTCAATCTGCGGTTGGTGTCAGACGCCAAAAGCGCTTGACACGAGGTGGAGCCGCGCCCACACGCGGCTCCAGCCTGGTGTCAATGTTGGGCACATTGGGCGATTTCCCGTGATCACATTGGTCGGTTTAGCTGACACCAGGAGGACTAGTCCTCCCTGTGTTTTCCGAGTTGGTGTCATGACACTAACCACTCTTGACACTTGCCAGGGATACGACCTCAGGCATGCCGTTGCATAGTATGTTCGTCTGTTACTGTAATGTGATCAGCACGAGTCTTTAAAATGCATGACAATGGTAAATGATAATAAGAAAAGATACAGGCAGTGGGGAAGCACCCGATATATCTCCCCATGCGACATCAGCACGTGATGGCATATCTATTTACAGCTACAGCATCCGGCAACAGCTAATGCTACAGCCAGCGCTACAGCCAGAGAGCCACTGCCAAGCTGACATATGACATGTCTAACCGCCAACCGCACTCCCTATCCGCCCCTTGCAGACAAGAACAGGAGACGGGCACAACCAAAGCTAGACAAAAGTAAAAGAAACGAAACCAGAGGAAATATGATAGAGCTGTTAGGGTAAAGCACGAGCCCACAGCCGCTTCATGGAGAAAAAGGCTTAGTAGTTCCAACCAAGGAACGTGGTAGGTAGGTGGATGCTGAGCCGAGATGTTAGCTTGGACTGAACCAGGAGGTACGGGCGGTGGGGTACTGTTACAAGCAGCCAGGAGTGTTAGTGAGAGGAGAGGGCTGAGGCCAGCCAGGAGGCTCAAAGGCGCAGTGACCGAGACAGTTAGTGGCCCCCAGGTAACGAGTTGATCAGCTGCCGCAGGCGAGGCATTCGTCGCGGTTCTCAAGAGAGCAGACCATGGCTGCGAGGTTGACTGAATCTGCCTTGGATGATATCACCAGATCCAGCTTGCTCTTCTCCTCCCGCCCTGCTGCCTGCACCTGCGCCTTGCTCCCCTGATCAGAGGGACAATCGCAGAAGGCAATGAGAGGGATGAGATTGATGAGCAGGGGAAAGCCAGATAAAGGTAGGAGGGAAGGAAATAGCAGTGCGAAAGCAGCAGCAGCAGAGTAAACAGCAGAGCAAGAGGCGGCAGCAGCAGCAGCAGCTGACCTGCACTGCTGAGGCGTCCACAGTGAACTTGATGGCATCCGCTGCGCTGCGCGTGCGCAGGTAGTACATGCCCGTCTTGAGACCCTGCCATGCACACACACACACACGCGCACGCACCCACACGCACACACCACACACAGGTTAGCTCCAGCTACTCAGCCTGAGCCATCTCCACAACAAGAGGCCCTCAAAACCCAAGTGCGGCAGCACAAGCTAAAAGTGCAAATGTACAAGAGCAGCATCAGCAGCGTCAGCAGCAGCGGGAGTAGCAGCATGAGCGGGCATCGCACCTTGGACCAGGCGTAGAAGTGCAGCGAGGTGAGCTTGCCGAAGTTGGGTGTATCCAGGTGGATGTTGAGGCTCTGGCTCTGGTCTATGAACGCGCCCCGAGTCGCAGCCAGGTCCACCACCGCACGCTGCTTGATCTCCCACACCGTCCTGCCAATCACAGCACCACGTGGGAAACAAAGGCTTGCTTACTGGCAGCTGGAGCAGCAGGAAAAGCCAGGAGACCCAAAAACCCAGTCCCCAAGAACTCAGCCAGCTCAACTCCGCCAACTCACTTGTAGATCGGTTTGAGGTGGTTGGGAATGGCGGCGATGCCCTCCACAGAGCCGTTGTGGTAGATGAGCTCGTTCTTGAGCGCGGGCGTCCACAGCCCCATGCCCGTGAGATCGCTCAGCAGGTGCTTGTTCACCACCACGAACTCGCCGCTGCACTCGGGATGCGCGCGAAGGGGAGCAGCACAGCACGGGAGCGCACAGCAGGGCAGGGTAAGAAAGATTAGGGAAGAATTGGTCGCGTTGGGCGCATTTTAAGGCACGTTGGGAGAGGAGTAAGGGACACGAGGTGTCCAATGTGGAAATGCTCAGGCAAGTAAGCAAGCAGGCCCACAATCCAACGAAAGCACAGCGAGCAGGGGCAGCGCCACGCACCTGAGCACGCGGCGGGTGTAGATATTCGACGTGTACGGCTCGAAGCACTCGTTGTTCCCGAGGATCTGGCTCGTGGACGCCGTGGGCATGGGCGCCAGCAGCAGCGAGTTCCGCAGCCCCACGCGCGCAATCCGCGCGCGCAGCGCCACCCAGTCGTGGCGCTCCTGCGTGAGTTCAACGCCGTCCCACATGTCGGGCTGCAGCAGGCCCTTGCTCATGGGGCTGCCGTCGTACGTGAGGTACTTGCCGTGCGCCTCCGCCAGGTCGCACGACGCCTTGAGCGCGTGGAAGTAGATCGTCTCGAATATGTCGCGGTTCAGCGCGTTCGCCTGGGAGGATCGCGGGGGGGAGAGGGGCGGCAACAGAGGAGATGCATGGTGAGATGAGGGGGAACCGCGAGGCGAGCGGGTGAGGGCGGCACAAGAAGTGAACAACTGCAGTATTTGCTCAAGAATTTCCGCTGAACAGTAGTAGTTTGACAAACCACAGCAGAACCAACTTTTTGAAATGCATTTGTAGAAAAGGGAGGTGCTGACCTCGGCGGAGTCGAAGGGCATGCCGAGCAGGATGAACACATCAGCCAGGCCCTGGACGCCGATGCCGATGGGGCGGTGGCGCTCGTTCGACAGGCGCGCCGAGTCGGTGGGGTAGTAGCTGACGTCGATCACCTTGTTCAGGTTGCGCGTGATCACCTCCGTCACCTGCCCCAGCTTCTCAAAGTCGAAGTACCGCTGCGCGTGGTTGCGGCTGCCGATCAGCTTCACGTCCGCCGCCAAGCCCTGCACGAGACGGAACGCGAGCCGGCGGCAGGGAACAACGGCGGGGTTGAGGGCGGTTGGTTAGAACAGCAGAACGATCGGGTTCGGGGAACGCGCAAAGCCCTGAAATTGCGCCAAGGCCTGAAGAACAGCAAATCCGAGGTGATTCCAGCGCCCCACGCGCGCGCGCTCACCTGCTCGCGGACGTAGCGGGGCAGCGCGATGGAGGCGAGGTTGCAGACAGCCGTCTCGTCGGGCGCGCAGTACTCCACGATCTCGCTGCACAGGTTGCTGCACTTGATCGTGCCCAGGTGCTGCTGGTTGCTCTTGCGGTTGCACGAATCCTGCTCGCCATCACGCCGGCACACCGACACGCAGTCCGGAGAAGTAATTAGTAACCCTCAAAATGGAATGAACCACAGATAATGCATCAACTTCAAATTGAACGCTGAGGGCATTGTATAGCAAAATGTGAACCCGACGGAATGCAGCTGCCTGGGAAAGTTGGGGTACCTTGAAGAGCATGTACGGGTTGCCAGTCTCGATCTGGGCCTCCAGGATCGCGAACCAGAGCTTCTGTGCGGGAAGGACGCGGCGGGCTCGGCCCTGCGTGTGTGGAGGCACAAGAACAGGCCACGACGTAAGACATTGAAACCGAGGAAACGGCCTGCAACGATCCAATGCACCGACTTCGTATCGGAAGGACGCGTAAGTATTCAGCATCGAAAGGAGGTCCATGTACCGGCGCGTACCTCGCTCTCGTACTTGGTGTAGAGCTCCACGAACTTGTCTCCCCAGCAGTCAGCAAGCCCGGGGGCCTCGTTGGGGCAGAAGAGCGACCAGTGGCCGTTCTCCTGCACGCGCTGCATGAACAGGTCTGGCACCCACAGTCCGTAGAACAGGTCGCGCGCACGGTTCTCCTCCTGCACGTCCACAACGGCGGACCAAGCACACAACAATCAGGGTCCAAATACGCTGATGCAAGCAGGAAAAGCTGCGGGTGAACATGAAAGAAAATGGGTACCTTGCCGTGGTTTTTCCTCAGATCGAGCCAGTCGAACACGTCCGCGTGCCACGGCTCCAGGTAGATGGCGAACGCGCCCTTGCGCTTTCCGCCGCCCTGATCCACGTATCTCGCCGTGTTGTTGAATACGCGCAGCATCGGCACAATGCCGTTGGACGTCCCGTTAGTGCCGCGGATGTAGCTATTAGCAGCGCGGATGCAGTGTATCGCCAGACCGACGCCACCCGCGGACTTGCTAATAACGGCGCACTCCTTGAGAGTGTCATAAATGCCTTCGATGGAGTCGTCCTTCATGCAGACGAGGAAGCAGCTGCTGAGCTGCGGGCGCGGCGTGGCGGCGTTGAAGAGCGTCGGTGAGGCGTGCGTGAACCAGCGCTGCGACATGAGGTGGTACGTGTCAATGGCGGCTTCGATGTCGCTCTCGTGGATGCCCACGGCCACGCGCATCAGCATGTGCTGCGGCCTCTCCACGACCCTGCGAGACCGGAAAATGAAATGTATCAGAAAGGAACCGCTGGCATGCTGCGTCGCGCTACATGATGCGAAGAGGAAGGCTCACCGGCCGTTGACACGAAGAAGATAGGACCGCTCCAGCGTCTTGAATCCGAAGTAGTCGTACTCGAAATCACGGTCGTAAATAATCTCGCTATCGAGGATATCCGCATTCTGCAAGTCGTTCCATGAAAATAGAACGAAGAAAGTTGGATGTGAATAATCCAAACAAACTAAGCTGACACCGCTGCATCATGTTGCAGTAAAACAAGCAGCGACTATAACCGATGCCCGCCATACCTCCATGATGATGTTGTAAGCCATTTCGCTGACCAGAGGAGAGTCCTGGCCCGTCTCCTTGTTCACGTGAAAATACATATCCTTAATCCTGAGAGCAAAAATGAAACGGCAGAGCAGAGACGTTAGTCCTGAATTAACTGGAAAATCATCGAGTCAATGGGCTTCATCGTTGAGCTGGAGCAGCAGAAGGACATGCTGAGGCCACTCACGTGTCAGAGAAGGACTTTTTTGTGTTCTTGTGAAGGTTAGACACCGCGATCCTCGCAGCGAGCTGGAATGACACGGATAAAAGCCACAGAAATCGTTACATCACATTGAAATCACTTGATGGAAGTTCTGGTCAGCGAGCAGAGACGGGACCTTGACAGGCCAATGCGGGATACGGTGGACATGACTACTTCAACGCGAAGCATTGGACGGCGTAAATTGAGCTTCGTTACTGACAATGGCGTAGTCGGGGTGAGTTGACGTCATTGCAGCAGCAGTCTCAGCAGCGAGCTCGTCGAGCTGCGAGGTAGTGACGCCCTTGTACACACCCATGCAGACCTTCTGAGCAACAACAACCGGATCGCAGAAGTCCGGATTGAGGCCATAGCTCAGTTTCTTCAGTCTTGCGGTGATCTTGTCGAAGTGCACCGTCTCCTTGCGGCCGTCACGCTTGATGACGAACATGGCTGTTGATGTCGCTGATCGTCCGTAGATGGATAAGATCAACCTCGCGCTGTTGAATCGATCAGCGAGAAGGCGAACACTGATGGTTGAGTGATACCTATCGCACAGTAAAGCTTTTAAGGAAGCGTAATGAGGAAGCTAGGATCACCTGGGCAAGAGGTGAAGAGGAATGATCGAGAGCTGAGCTGATTAGTTGAACTAATAGCGGCTGAAGCCCGCCTTTTTATCAGCTAGCTGACCAGCAGCAGAGCAAACCAGCGAGAGCAGACAATCACATCGAGGCGCGTACAGATCTGGAGGGGGTCACTGGCTCTGGGATCAGAGGGGAAGGAGAAATTTGTCTCGGGTTCTGGGGTGAGGTCTGGTATGGTGGCAGGCTTGGCAGTTGGTTCGGAGACAGGTAGGCACAGACAGATGCGATGCGGTTTGAATCGCGACATACAAAACACGAGAATTCAAATTTCGTTTTGTGGGTTTGGGCGAATTTGGGCTGGGGAGGTGTGAGGTGTCTCGGATTCAACTTCGGAGTTTTGAAATTCGGGAATCAAAACCAATGCAGCCAAACCTTTTCAAACGACATCCAGACCTCTAATACTTGAGAGGTTCGGGGCCAGGCCAGAATTTTTGTGGGCTTGTGCGTCTAGCTTCAGCGTGACGATTCCGTTCGCAACTCAGGGTTTTGAATCCCCAAATTCAAAGGGCTGCTGCTCATCTCGCTCACAGAATGTCTGATTTCGCACACATTTCGTTTTGTACCGAGTTACCGATACATTGATCATAAGAATCGGGTCACAATAATATACATCCTCAGCATAATGACGTTTCATAAATGACACCTATATTGACTTCAGATGATAATCAAAGCTTTAATAATCAATTACAGCATCATCTAGCAACATGATCAAGATAAGATGTCAATGTACACTTTATTTGGTGTGTCGTCTTGCATTTTGCATGTTTCGTAACCATTGGTATGCGTCTATGCCTGTATGCCAAGTGTGTACAAGTGCAAATTCCTCGCTTAGGATTGAAAAGGCAGAGTGATTTTATTTGCCAACTCTTCCCTGCACAATCTTTGCAGAAAGTAAAATGGGGCACCTACCGTACGTATCCTTCCTCCCCGATAGAGGCCACGTGTGGCTTACCTACATTTGTTTTTGTCATTTTTTGGGGTGGGGAGGTCCTGTAATCAAATGCTATAGCCTCTGGGCTTACCGGTACAAGATATATCTGTTTATTGAACCATAACCGTATCAGGAAATACCCACAGACCATCACGGGATTCAATATGGGAGAACTCTATGAACGAGAGTGGGCCCTACCATTGGACTAGGGCGCAGATGACAATCACCCCCTAATTTAGACAATCTTCAGTCTAGACGACAATACAACGGTCAACAACACTAAGCAACAAGAAACTGTACATCATCACCTAATGTGATCAGCCATCACAACCATAACAGCAGATGCCTAAAACAGACCCGGTTTACAGTTCCAGACCTAGGCAAATCTTAAACTGTTAATCAACATCCCACCCATCCAGATTGCCCCTAGCCTGCACAATACATTCCCTAACTCAGCCTATATGTCCTTTATCTCCGGCCAACTCTTCGCCGGCGGTTATTAGATGCGCCACCCCGCTTCCTTGCCGCCCGCTCCCTCTCCACTCTCCCCCTCCTCTCTCCCATCGATCCTGCTGCCGCTGCTGCAGCCGCCGCAGCAGCCGCAGCCATTGCAACAGCCGAGGCCTCTTCACTCCCAGTCGCAGCAGCCACAGCTGCTGCTGTTGCCGCCACTGAAGCTGCTCCTGTGGCTGCCCCAAACCCATCCCCCCCATTAAACACATCACCCCCAAATCCCTCTCCCCCACCCGCCCCAGAAACCCCAGCGCCCCCTCCCGGATTGATTGCTGCTGCAGAGCCCCCCATTCCGCCCCCTGACACAGATACATCCTTACCGCTGCTGCTCTCACGTCCGTCCCCATCGTTCCGTGCTGCAAACACTGGATTGGGCTCAAGAGGCGGAGGAGGGGGGATGGCTCCAGATGCAATCCTTTCAAGCTCTTCCAAAGACCCATCATCCATATCATCCTCCTCTTCCTCCTCTCCTCTGCTCCCCTGCCTCACCTCCCCCACATCTACATCCACCACCCCGGCTGGCAGGAACAACCCCCTACCTTCACCAGGTAACACCTTCCCATGCTTCCGCCTCTCCACCAGCTCAACATCCAGCCACCCGTCGTTCTCATCCCTCCCGCCGATCCCAGCAATAAGATACCCCAGGGCGTCCAGAGCAGGAGTGAGAGCCATGGATAGCACCACCACGATAAGCACGATCCGGTTCACATCAGTGGGAAGAACACCTAGGTCGCAAGCCAGTGCCAGCACCACAAACGCAAACTCCCCTCCCGGGGACAGAATCAGCGCCGTGCGAATGGCGTCCTTGCCTTTCAGCCCCCACCTGGGCGCCAGCAGCGCAACTGTGGCCGTCTTCACTGCCAGCAAGCCGGCAAGAAGCGTCAGAATTACCGGCCACTGCTCGACAAGCAAATCCACGTCGATAGACGAGCCGGTGGTGACGAAAAACAGCCCCAGCAGCAGCTTCTGCAGAGGACCCGTGCAGAGAGCCACATCGTGCTTGAGAGGCGTGGAGGACAGAATCGCTCCGGCCAGGAACGCTCCGAGAGAATCCGAGAACCCGAGCTTGTCGGTGGCAAGGGAAGTGCCGGTGACAGCGAGGAGGGAGAGAGCGAGGAAGGCCTCTGGTGCGTTGGCGCGCTGCACTGCAGCGAAAGCAGGCTTCATGAGCCATTGCGCTCCCACGAGAATGGCCCCCAGGCCCAGGAGGGCCTTCAGCGCGCCTGCTACTAGGAGTTGGGCGAGTGCGACGTTTGCAGGGCCGCCTAGGAGCGCGGCTGCGACTGAAAAGACGAAGCCGGAGGGGTCTGCTGCCACTGCTGCTGCTGTGGCCGCTGCAGCTCCTGCTGCTCCCGCCGCCACTGCTCCTGCTGCTCCTGCCGCTGCGCCGGCCGCGGCTCCTGCTGCTGCTGTTGCGGCAGCGATGGGAGCGGTGGTGGCAGCGAGGGAGGCGGTGGTGGTGGCGCCGTCCCCTGCAGCGCCAGCAGCAGCGGTGAACCCGCCTTCAAGCACAGGGAGTATGGCCAGGATAGGGACAACGGCTATGTCTTGCATCAGCAGCACGCCCAGAGTAGCCGAGCCGAATTTCGTCTCAAGCTCATCATGCTCGTCGAGAAGATTAAGTACGAAGGCGGAGGAGGAGAGGGAGAGCGCGACGGCTATGACGAGCGCCTCGTCCAGTGTGATGTGCGCGAGGGGAGCGAGGAGGTCCGTGGAGAAGGGGAGTGGGGGGAGGGCGGGGACGAGAGAGGTGAGGGAGGTGGGGAGGAGGGTGAGGAGGGAGGAGGCTTGTGAGAGGAGGTGGGCTGGGGAAATGGGGCTGTCGGCTGGTTGCAGCAGGAATGCAAATGCGAGAGTGCACGCTGCGATCTGCACGAAAGGGAAAGCGAGTGGTGGAGCGGGGAGGAAGACAGGGTGAGGAGAAGAGGGGATAAGGGAAGAGGAAGAGGATCTATTTGGCTTTGGCCGTTATATCACGGTTTGTTCCAGCACAGTTGTTGGGTTAGAAATAAGGTAAGCGGGAGGGGGGAGGGAGGGGTCGGGGAAGGAAGAGATGGGGGATGGGAATCCTGGCTGTTCATGTTCATGCCTTTGAACTCATCAGCTGGAGATTAAATAGCAACTCATATTAGGCTCGTTCATCTTGTGTAGACGTGCTGTGACTCATACCATGCACCTCACCAACAACCCAACCCTTGCCTACGCTCCTCTGCAGCGCTTAGCTCCGCTCAGCCACGCACAGCCCCAGCAAACATCCTCCCCACACCGCCCCCACCACATACCCCCAGCACAGCCCCCGCAGAACCCGCCAGCACAGGCATAGGTCAGGCGCATGTACAATCACACGCACCTGCGAGAGGCCGAGGCCGAAGGAGTACTTGGCGAGCTCTTTGAGGCGATCGACGGAGAGCTCGATGCCCATCTGGAAGAGCAGGAAGAGAATGCCCAGCTCCGACACCGGCGCGATCTCGTTCACGTGCTGCCCGAACCCCAGCCGGCTGAACACCAGCCCCGCTCCCAGGAACCCCAGAATCGGGCTTATCTGGCGAGGGAAGGGGGAGGAAAGGGGGGGGAAGGGGGAGGAAGAGGGGGGGGGAGGGCGGGGAGGGGAAGGGGAAGGAAACGGGAGGAAGCGGAGAAGTGAGCGGCAGGGCTGGGAGGTGGGGAGTGGCTGAGGGTGGAGTGGCATGGAGGGCGATCGCGCTGGAGTTGGTTCAGACTGGGGCGGGTTCGCCGCTTGTCATAGTTTTGTCGCGCAGTGATAGCGATATTGGCGTGTCGGGCGCGTACGCAGCGAACGACGGGGCTTGTGTGAGGACGCCGATGGAGAGGAGCAATCAAGGAGTTAACGGAGACTCGGGGCACTGGATGATATTGAATCGAAACATGTCAGATTCAAGCGAGTTACTTAGATTCATGCGCAAGTGCGCATGAGAAAACGAACTACTATTCAGAGGCGATTCGAGAAAACATACCTTGAGCCATTTGCAGGTGGGCACGATGATGACTGTGGTGAGCAGGAACAGCAGCGCGTCGAGCCCAAGGTCGTCGATCACTTGCGCCACCACCGCCGGACCCAGCGCAATATCCCCGCCAACCACCGCACGCGCCACCACGGCCCGCCCGCGCTCCGCTTGTCTCGTTTCCTCGTTGCAACCTTCGCGCCTGCTCGCGCTTCTCCCCGCGGAGCCCAAGCCTGACTCGTTGTTGTTGCCCGCTCCGGTACCGTTAGACGCGCCGAATGCCGCGCGTTCCGGCAGGCCGCGGCCGAGCCCTTGTCCTGCTGTACGCCCGCGCTCAATGCTCACGGCGCTCGCCGCAATCACCGGGGCCCGCGCTCCCGCGGAAGGCGATAAGGGCGAGAAACGACGCGGCATTGGGAAGCCATGGCGCGAGGAAGACGCTCCGCCGATGGCGGGCCGAAAACGCCGAGGAGAGAACGGCCGAAGGAGCGGGGACGAGAGCGGGGAAGCACGGGGAAGTCTTGAAGGGGAAAGGAGCCGCGAGTTGAACAGCGGACTGGACTCTTTCGCAAAGTGCGCGGATACTAGTAAATCCGTCGTCATGAGGGAGGGGAAAGAGGGGAGAGACAGTCGCTGTGGCTGTATTGGCCGAAGCCTGCTGGCTGTGAAGCTGCCGTAAAGCTGACAGTGGTGCGAGGATTTCCCAGACGGTTTACTCGACTAGCAACCGAATTGCGATTAAGAAGCTGCTGCGGAGTTAGTGTGCAAGTATATGCGATTTCACGGTTAGTAACGCGTAACGCCAGGGGCAAGTATTCGATGAGAGGGAACGGCAGGTCTGGCCGTAAAAATGGCTTGTCTGTGCTCCAACAGCATAAATTAGTCGTTATCCTTTAAGCGGTTATTAACGGTTCAGATGGTCGGCGAGAAGGGAATGTGAATGGACCTCCAACAGAAGAAGTTGCTCGTTAGCTTGCGACGTGACCCGGTGAAGTAGTTGTGCGTTGTGAATGTCACCGCTCGCCTCGCGGTTTGCTCTGATAAGCACACACGAGAGCACCAAGGCCGTCGTTATTCCAGTCGAGTCGACATATTTGCCGCCATATCAGCATAGTACACACCAGCGCAGTAACGAACAAGAGAAATAGCTTAGCCGCTTTTCTTGATTCTCCATGCGTGACACATCGAGCGCAGTTCTCGACCGCTAGCACCAAGGTTGCAGGTCAGAAACAGGTGGAGTGGTGGATGAAGCAGAGTTGCGAAACTCGCAACTCCAGGCGAGCCGCTTTTATGGGTATTGGGGGGGTGGGTTGGGTTGGGACTGACTGATTGGGGGCAGATTGGGTGGGAATGAGGCAGGAGAGGGGGAAGAGGGAATGGGGAGGGGTGAAGGATGGAATGGGATGGGATGGGATGGGATCATCTGAGCAACCAACTAGGCACTGGAGTCGCGACTCGTGTGGCTCGTACATCGCTGACGTGGCTCTTGCTTGCGATTTCCCACATCTCTCCGCACCTCCCTGTGCTGCGCTCTTCACGCCTGTGCTGCTTGCTCGTCTCTTCGCCCTAGGTCTTGGGTCGTTCATCGTCGCGCTGGCGCCTTCTCGACGTGCTGAAGGGCGGGACGGTGAATGGATAGAAGGGCGAGGCGAGATTCAAGAAGGGAGCAAGGCTGAGTCGCTGCGCCTGATGAGATCCAGGGAACTGAGTGTTTCTTCATCGTTGATTGGTTGAAGAAGCTGCCAGCGTGGATTAGGTGAGCTGGTCTCAGTGGGGGTTTCGTGAGGAATTTCTCGATTGGAGGAGCTCTGCCCAGGTCAGATTGGGATGTCAGTCAAGGTCGATAAACATTTTCGAAACACCACAATTCAGCATGCTTGACAGAGTAAAAGTGCTCGATATTGAGTCAGATCCCTCACATCGGGCAGAAGCTCCATTTGCCCGCGGTTCGCACAGTAGGGCGAAACCCAACCACCAATTGTCAGACAACTTCCGTGCCAATCAAAGGTTCAAGTAGGGCACGTGCCTCAACGTGGAGATCGTTCACTCGTTTGGAAGGCATATACGTTAACGACACCATGTGACGTGTCGACCATTTTCTCTTTATGTGTCAGGCTGACATACGTGGCGTTATTTCATTAGCCTTTTCTGGGAAAGAAGCCCTTCTGATATAGCCCTCTGACCTGTTGTGTCAAGCCACATCGACTACTTAGCTGACCTGGAAGACATTCTGGCCAGCCAAAACTTGAGACGAGCCCCCCTATTATGGCTTTCAATAAGCCAGATCAGACATGTAACTGGAAGTACAAGTGGCACTTCCCCATGCGACGCGACAATGGGTTCAAGCAAATTGGCCGCAATGTCTTGACTGGGTCTGCATGTTCCTTTTATCCAGAACCTTTCCGCCCCTCTCCACCCCTCACCTTCCCAATAGACACCATAATGCAGAGGTGTAGATGAAGATGCTTGTTACGAGCAATGATGATTGCAAGCTGTAACTAGCACTGAATAGATGGGAAAAATATCCTATTATAGTAATTTACATAAGGTACAAAAAAACTAACATACGAATGAAAATTGAAATGAAGTTATGAAATACACTCCCTTAGCGCCATCAGCTTGTTGCACACCTCCTCGATCCGCACGGAACACGGGGCGTGCACATGCACTGGGACATGCACTGGTTCTTAAAAGTCGCCCACTTGCCACTAACCTTGCTCTTCACAAGCGTGTTAGCAGTGTCCGTGCACACATAGTTGCACGATGTCTCCATATACTCACACGGAGTATCAGCCATGGTCCACCATTGCGAAGGAGGCCACGAGGGGAACGGGCAATACAGCGTATCCAAATCCACCCTGCACCTGCTCTGGAACCGAGTATCTGCCATCAGCCCACTCCTCAAGAAACACGCGCTCTGGCACCCGTTGCACGCGCCTGGCGTGGCCGGCGTGGCAAAGTTACACACCGCGTCGCACATCGACGGGTACGTGGCGAAGTCCGACCCGCATACATAGTTCTGCAGGTTACCGCACCCGCAGTCGTTCAGCCCGATCCTACGAGAGCACGGCACGAGAATCATCTGTTCGGCCGCTAGCGCGCTCGAGTCACACGGGAAGAAGTTGTTGCTGTGGCAGATGTTGGCCTCGCCCGCAGTCACCCCGCAGCGGTCAAAGAAAGCCATGGCGATGGAGGTGAGCGTGTCGTTGGCCTGCACCTTGTAGGGGATGAGGCTCGTGTTGGCTGTCAGGCTGTCCACCATGACTGCGGTTGGAGAGGCGATGCACACCAGCTGCCCCACTTGCAGGTACGGCGCCTGGCACTGGTGAAGGTTGGCGGCGGGAGTGATGGTAGCACGGGAGGAACACGAAAAGGGTGAGAGGGGTATGAGATGCAAGGGTTGAGAGATGCAGGGGAGGAAAGCAAGAAAAGCGGGCCATAAGAATAGGAGAGCGGAGGAAAAGTATCAAACAGAGACGTGGTGGAAAGGAAGATGAGTGTAGTGTAGGTCAATGCGAGAGAGGAGGAAGAGGGGGTGAAGGTGGACAGTGGGGCATTGGGAGCAGCGAAGGCGAGTGAGAGGAGAGGCGAAGAGAAGTGACGAGAGAAGAGGAGAGGAGCAATGAGGTGGAGGCGGTGCGTACTCTGAGGCCGGGGTTGATGGCCATGAAAGAGGAGATGGTGAGGTTGGCGGCGTTCCAGATGTTGGGACAGTTGTCGCCCTGCTGCACCAGGTACCACTTGGTGCACGTCACTGCGTCCCGAGATGTCTGCTCGCCCACACATACTGCCAGCCCCACTGGTAGCTGTCCAACCGTGCAGTCCAGCCCCGGGTTGAGCCTGCAACGAGGATAAGATCAGTGGGAGAGACGGACCGAAGAGGACAACACAACACCCATGAGGACTCATATCGACTGCTGAACAGCAAATCATGGAGCAACGGTCAAACACAGAATCACTGTCGGTGAGTAAAAGCAGAGTTAAAAACAGCTAGCAGACAGGATCAAACAGGATTGCTGGTGCACTGGTGCGTGGGGCCACAGACGGACAAGGCACAGCGCGCACTCACATGTAGAACGTCGTGCCGTTGAGGCCATAAGTGCTAGAGATAGTATCGCACGTGTCCCCTGCAGTGACCGTGTACGTGAGCCCGCACACCAGAGGAGACACGTCCTGTCCGAGCGTTCCCAGCGCCTCCGCGCACACCTGCTGCTGCACATACAGGCTCTCGCACTTGAGCCCCGGATTCGCCTTCTTCAGCTTCTCCTGATTGCCCTGAAAGTGCCGCGTGGCGATGCTATCGCACGTGTCGTTCGGGGAGACGTAGGTGGTGGTGGTGCACCCGCTCGTGGTGGTCTGCGTGGGGTTTGAGACCGCGAGAACCATGGCTGCTGGGAGCTCTGCGGAGCAGTCGAGGAAGGGGTTGAGGTGCTGGAGTGTGTTGGCTGGGATGGAGAGAGAGGTGGAGACGGACTGGCATGTGTCGCCGGGGAGAGACGTGTATGTGAGCGAGCCGCCCGCTGGGGTGACAGGTACGCATGTGGGAGAGCCGTCCACCCTTGACCCGATCACGTAGCCCTGCGAGTGAGAGGGGCGGAGGAGATTGCGGGTAAGTTGAAGTGCTAGCAAGAGAAATGAAAGAAAAACAAAAAAATATGAGAAGCACACATTGCATGCCACTTTCCCAATACCCACAACCACACACGTCAGACATCCATCCCCAATATCCCCATGCCAATTTCCCCCCTCATCGCATCGCACCCCCCCCCCCGCATGACCCCCAAATCTCCCTCACAGGCAGAGCGCACCTGATTGCACGAGCACGTGTACAGCCCGGCGGCCTTCACGCTGACGCACGTGCCCGCGCCGCACGGGTTCACCACGCTCTTCCTGCACGGCTCGCGCGTCACGCACTTGCTCGTCGGCACGCCGATGCGCTCCACGAAGTTGCGCGGACACGCGCAGCGCGCGAGCCCGCCCAGCACGTAGCACGCGCCGCCGCCGCACGGGTTGATGCGCGACTGGCACGGGTTCGCGGACGGATCCGGGGTCCACGTGCTGTTGCGGAGCGACGCGCGCACGGGGCCGTAATTAGGGTTGTCCTTGAGCGGCCCGATCGGGTACATGGCGTTTTGGGGGGCTCTGGGGAAGAAGACGGGGTAGATTGCAGGGATTCTGGGAGAACGGGGGGATGGGAGGGGGGAAGAAAGGGGGTGGAGGCGAAGGGTGGGGAGGGGAGGAAAGGGACGGTGATGAGAAGAATGGTGCGAAACGGGCCAACGGTTGGGGCAGGCAGAGCAAAGCAGCTGAACGATAGCGTGGACAGCGTGGTGACAAGTCAAAGGCAGGCAGCGTGGCGGCAGCGTGTAATCAACGGGAAGCGGGGCTGCGTGCGTGCTCACTGGTTCATGCCGCATTTCCCGGCGCCAGCGGTCATGGCGATGTACATGTAGCCGTTCTCGCCCCACGCGCGCCCCCACGTGTTCTTGACCACCCAGTACGGCCCGTTCACTTTGTCCGTGCCGTACCCCACGATCAGCACCGCGTGATTCACGTCCGCGCTGCAGTTACCGTTGTAAAACCCGCCGCGGTACATCTGGCGTGGGGGGGAAGGGCGCGCGGAGAGAGGAGCAGGGGAGGTGGGGAGGGAGCCGGGCGGGGGGAGCGGAAGAGAAAGAGGAACCCGTCAGAACGCTGTGCCGAGCGGGAGAGAGGAGCATGCAAGCAAGAAGCATGCGAGGAGTCGAGTAAGCGACGGAGCGACGGAAGCAGGTACTAAACGAAGGAGCGAAGTAGAGCGGGGTGCGCGGCAGCGGAGGGCGGAGGGCGGAGGGCGGAGAGCGGACCCGGAAATCGTTGGTGGCGGCGTCGACGAAGGCGATGATGGGGTGCTGGCTGACGGCTTGCAGCATGGCCTGCACGTCGAACGCCGGCACCTGCTCCCACCCCGTGATCTGCGCCTGCTTCACGGCCGCGCCCTGCGCGTCGCACGTCGGCTGGTCGCTCGCCGTGTAGGGATACACGTCGTTGCTCGCGATGCCGCCGTTGTAGACTATGTATGCGAGGACCCACTCCGGCCACCCGCCGGAGCAGCAGCGGTCCGCCGCGCAGTCGCACGCCTGCTGCGCCGACAGCGGCACGGCGTCGCGCGCGAACGTTGCGATGCCCCACATCAGCGCCACGGCGTCCGTTGCGGTCAGCGCCCAGCAGCTCTCGCACTGCGGGTAGTCACGCGCGACAGGGGGAGGAGAGGAGAGGAGAGGAGAGGAGGAAGGGAAGAGAGCATTAGCGTCATAACGGCGACGGTTGAACCGGAATGGCGGCAAAAAGAGGCACCACGGACAACAGGAAACAAGAACCCGGCAGCGGAAATCGGGGAAAGAAATACATAGCCTTGGAAATCTCGCGCTGGGAAACCCGCATTCCGCGGTGGGGGCAAGCGCGCACCCTGATTTGGCTGGCGATGGGCGTCATGAAGCGCGAGAAGCGCCAGTCCACCCACGCGCGCACGGGCACGCTGTCGTAGCGGTACGCCGTGATATTGATGTCGGCGGGCGACGGGCCCGTGTTCAGCCCGGGCGCCGTCAACCCGCGGAACCCGGTGCTCACGGGCGGCTTCGGTGCCACGTCGTCTTGCAACACACGGCCGTTTCCGCCGTTGCTGGCGGCGCTGGCGTTGGAGAATCGCTGGACGGGGGTCCGTGAGATGCGGAATGGAGATTCCGGTGACGAGAGGATGTGATCCAGGAAAGCGCGCTGCTCGTGCAGAGGAGCCGTTGCCGGATTCCACGCCGCGTCTTCCGGCAATGCCGACGTCGTCGAATCGTCCGATGTGGCCGTCGACCCCGCTGGGAGCAATCGTCGCCCGGCTTGATCCATTCGCTGCCCGTTTTTCCGCGATTCACGGCGCAACTGCTGGTGGCTTTTCCTGGCAAATCGCCTGACGACCGTCGGATCAATCATGTTCCATGACACGTGGCCGTCGGAGAGATGCTCCCAGACTAGGCTCTCGAACGCGCTCCGCTGGGGGGGACCAACAAGAGGCTCGGACTCCTCCCACCCTAGGCTCGCCTCTTCGCGATTCCCGCTCCTCTCGTCTTCCCCTTTGGCGGAGGAAGTAGCGTCGGCGGGGGATGCGGCCTGCGTGGGGCGAATTTCAAATGCGGGCGACTGGTGCTGTTTGAAGGGAAGGGACTGCGACGCATCGTCGTTGTTCTCGTCGCCGATCCCCTGGGTCTGCAGCTGCATGCGAATGAGCACGTCGCCTGTCGCAGGCGACGATCCAGTCGCAGAATTCGCCGTGTGCCGAGCTGATGAGGAAGGGAGGTGGGAGACGGACAGGAGGAGGAGAAAGCAGAGGGGCTGAACAATGCGCATTTGGCGCTGTGATGAGTTTCGCCGTATGAGCTGCATATAATTCGCGGGAAACGCCATCTTCTAGGCAATGCCGCCGTGTGGCGGGTGGCTGACCGAAATCTCGAATAGGTTCGGATTCCGAGTAGATTCGGAGCAGAAAATGGCTCTTGCAAAGCGGTGAGGCGGCTTCCGGTCGTTAAAAAAGGCGGGGTTCGCGAAAGCGTTCGTCGACCATTATCAACACCGCGAACCGTTGACGCAAACAGCGGACTCGCAAGCTAATACGGAGCTGGCTTTTTCAGAGAACATAACACGATCTACCTTAGCACTCGTGTCTTGTTTTACACAGGCCTTGTGATGTGAGTAACAACAGGTGGAAGTCTGGTGTGGTGTGCTCTGCTCTCAACTCCTGCACGCCGCCTCAAGCCGCATCAATGGGCAAAGGAAACGGCGACATGGTGCGTCAGCGATGCAGGGGGGAGGGAGGCAGTCCCGCGCGTAGTAGGTACGGAATGGACGGTTCTCTGTTTCCTCCCCAGGGTGTTTAGTTGGAGGGGAGGGGAGGTGCGGGCAGCGGGAGATGACGGAGAGTTTGGGCGGAGGGAAAATTGTCGGGATCAGGGAGGACAGACAGAGCAGAAACGGTCAATTGCAATATCGAATAACTCGAATTTCAAATATGCTTTTTGAGTACTCTCTTTATACGAAAGTAATCCAACCTCCGTCCCTACACGAATTTACCTTCGTTCACGAATTTGCTTGCGAGTGTGACGTGATGCCAACATTTTGTTGACGTGAATGAACACTGTACCTCGTTTATGGCGTTCCACATCTCGGTTGAAAGCTGAATTGGAAATGCAAAAGGCGCAACACACTCGGATAGCCCCCTGAATGTATGTAGTCTACTTATTCATCGAGAAGTTGTTGAAGGTGGGTGCGGATGTCCTGCTCACAGTACGCGAATGCTGCCAAGTTTGTCGACCTTCACTACCCCTCACATACTATCGGTCTGAACATGGGCAGCTTGCGGGCAAACGCAAATGCTTATAATGATATATTTCTGCTTATCTCTTCAACTTGCGGATCAAACGCTAGTAAGAATGCACATCTACCTAGAGCTGAGCTACATTTGTTGTTAGTATCAGTTTGTACAAACATGAATCTCTCAAGGACCTAAACAGAAAGAGGAAAAGGAGGGAAAGAAAGACTCAACAAGGAGAAGGGAAATGAAGAAAGAAAGGGAGAAGGAAAGTGAAACTGCCACAAAGAAACCAAACGTGAGCTACATTCGTCCTTCATAGTGATAATAACGGAGGTCGTTTCTAATTTCTCCAAAAAACAAACCAGTCAAAGTAAAATAGTTGACTCGCAACTCTCTGAAGACTATGAGGTCACCGCCATATCTGATTAGCCGCAGCGGCAGGTTGCGCCAAGTTGAATCATCCACGAAACACACATTCCGTTACTGCTCGACTCGAAGTGAGCCAGATCTGGCTTGCGCCTAGCGACCACTGTGGGAGCAAGACCTGTGAATTGTAACCCCCTCTTGCGTGAGTGGGCAGCGTGGGAAAACAATTGTGCTCCCTCTAAAATGTGATGTGGCACGACCTGCCTCACTTCTCATCTATATGAATTGTTCTATTTTTTTAGGGATAGTTGTTGCTGCACATTTATCAAATGTTGAGATATTGTTATCAAATGTTGCGCATTGCCGTTGTAAAAATTGGCAATCCTAGCCTTGGAGAGACCTTGGTCAATCAGCCAAGAACCTCCTGTCCTGGCTGTATTTTATTTCTGTCCAGCATTGCTGGTGCCTTTCTGCTCATTTGCAGTTTTTTTTTGCTTCTGGCATGCATTCTTGTTCACTTGTTCAGTCAGCCCTCCTGACACGTGCCCAAACAGTTGAACAAGACCTAGAAAAACAACATGTGCCGACACCAAAATAGAGTTTAAATCTTCCTGTCCAAGGCTACACCGCTGCACAATTCATGCAGATAATGGTTCAAAATGGGTGGGGTGGGAAGGGAACATTCTGCCATAACAGCCTTTCAGAACTATTTACATTCGCAAGTCACAGCCGTTCGAATGAGACAGGCTACACTAACAAGCAGCACTCAGCAGCTCCCCTTCTGACGCGGGAGAAAAAGGGCAAGAAAAGTCCCCTCATATCGGTAATAGGTAAGCTGGGAAGGGAAGCCAAGGCTATCGTGGAAACTGGCTGGGCTCATGGAAATGGCTGCGCACGGGGAGAACCTACTGGTACCAGCCACTGCCTTATTTTGCGCTGCTTACAGCTGGCCTTCACAGTTGGAGGTAATGAATGGGTGTCCTGAAAGCGACAAGGGGATGAAGTGAGCGGTGCATGCAGGGAAGGAGAGGGAATGGGATGGCGAGGCAGGAGAAGGGAAACAGGGATCATGCATAAGCCATGGAAGGAGAAGGCTTAGGCACTATGAAAGGCAGACGAGAGGGATAATATCCAGAGAAAACAGGAATAAACATGTCAAGCATGCCACACCAAACATGTCAGGAAAAAACAGTTATTTCCATTTCTTCTGCAGACGCAATCCACAGGAAATACTCAGCACAGCACATTCCCTTCAACACAAAAAGAAATAAATCGACACAGAATAAATTGCAACCCCACCCCTTTCATTCACCTAGAATCCCCTCGGCAGTGACCCGCTTCCTCGGGTCAACCGTGAGCATGCGTGCTACCAGGTCCTTGGCGCGTTTTGAGACGTCTCAAAAAAGAAGAAACCAGCATCGGCAAGAATCCCACTCCCCCCTTTCACTCACCGAGAATCCCCTCGGCAGTGACCCGTTTGCGCGGGTCAACTGTGAGCATGCGCGCTACCAGGTCCTTGGCATGCGCCGACACGGAGGGCCACGGGGGGAAGGAGAAGTTGAGGCGCCCCGCCTTAATGCTCTCGTACACGCCGTCCGTGGTGGGCGCCCAGAATGGCGGGCGGCCGCACAGCAGGATGTAGAGAATGACCCCCGCGCTCCATATGTCTGCCTCGCACCCGTACGATCGCTGCACTACCTCCGGTGCCATGTAGAAGGGCGACCCGATGCGCTCGTTGAAGCGCTCTCCTGGGGAGGGGGGATGGGATGATGTGGAAGTGTGTACATTTGCAGGGGTTTTATGGGAGAGTAATATGGGAGAAATGTGACCAGCGTTGCTGGCTGAATTAGCGTGAACATCCAAGCAACAACGCAAGCAAGCAGGCAAGCAACAAGAGGGGCGGGCAGCTAACCAGGAGCAAGGATCCCCGAACAACCAACATCAAAGACTCTGAAGGAGACGCTACAGTCTAGCCAGAGCAGCAGCACGAATTCGTCTGAATTCGTGAGATTTTGTCTGAAAATAGGTTATTTTCTCGGCGCCTCAGAAAGCAGCAGGAGGCTCACTCACCAGGCGCAAGTATTCCCGAGATGCCAAAATCGATGACTTTGAGTGACACGTCGCAGTCGGGGTTGAGCAGCAGGATGTTCTCGGGCTTGAGGTCGCGGTGCACGATGCCCAGGCGGTGGCAGTGCTGCACCACGCCCACCACCTCCGCCACTACCCGCGCCGCGTTGCGCTCCGGGTAGAAGAGGCGCGTCTTCACCCGGTCAAACAGGTCCCCCCCCGCACACATCTCCATCACCATGTGCACGTCCTGGCGGGGGGGGGGGGGGTGGGGAGGGGAGAGGAGGGTGGGGGAGTGAAGTGTCGAAGAGTATGTTTTAAAACCACAAAGCAGAGAGTGTGGTCTGCCTAAACGCGCTAGGTGCAAGCGATGTGACAAGGGTAGGCAGGAGAACGGTAGGAAGAAGATGGATGAAGGATGGCACGAGACGGGCACGAGAGAGGCAGGTAGCAGAAGGGTAGGTAGGAGGTGAGTAAGTGAGTGAGCGAGTGAGTGAGTGAGTGAGTGAGTGAATGAGTGAGTGAGTGAGCGAGTGAGGAGGGGGGATACCTCGGCGTCTTCAAACACGTGGAAGAGCTGTACGATGTTGGGATGGCCCTTGAGCATGCGCAGTATCTGCACCTCCCTCCGTAGGTCCTCCACATCCGCCTGACACTGCACCACATGGCACATGCACGCACACCCACACGTGGCAGCAGCAGTAGCAGCAGCAGCAGCAGCAGCGGCAGCAGCAGCAGCAGCAGCAGCAGCAGCAGCAGCAGCAGCAGCAGCAGCAGCAGCAGCAGCAGCAGCAGCAGCAGCAGCAGCAGCAGCAGCGGCAGCAGCGGCAGCAGCAGCAGCAGCAGCAGGAGGAGCAGGAGAAGGAGCACAGGGGAATGGGAACAGTGAGACACGGAATGAGTGAGGATTTACACAAACAAGGTACCGGTGGTGGCAACAAGGATGGAGGTCATACTGTGAAACATGTTCTATCACACAATCACCACCACCTAGGCAGGCCAACTCACACGCAGGTTCCTCTTGCTGACGGTCTTACACGCCGCCTTCTCCCGTGTCTCCCTGCTCTCACACAGGCGAATGCGTCCAAACCGCCCCTCCCCGAGCTCCTTCTTGTGCAGCAAGTACTTGCTCTTCACGTCCTCAAACGGCCCTCCCAGCACGTTCACGCACAGCCCAAACACACGCTCGTACAGGCTCGCGCTCTGCCGACCCTCCGGCGTGGACGCATCGCCTTCCTCCGGACCTAGCCCTGCGGTTTGGTACACGGACTTGCTTCGGCGATGTGTACCCATAGATGCCTTGCCTGCTGTTGCTCCTGTCGCCGCTGCTCCTGCCGCTGCTGCTGATCCTGTCACGACTGCCGCTGCCCTGGCTGCTCTTCCTGCTGCGGCTGTGCCTGGGGTGGCGTTGCTGCTGCTGCTGCTGGTAGCAGGGTTGCCAGATGTGAATGCGCGAGAGGGGTGATTGGGAGGGCTGGGAGTGCGCGATTTGGGTTGGGGGGAGCCGCGTGCCTCTCGCACCCCCTGCTGCTGCTGCGACGGTGATTGATGCTGCTGCTGCGACGGTGATTGATGCTGCTGCTGCGGTGGCGATTGTTGCAGCTGCATGGACTGTTGCTGCTGCAAATGCATGAGGTCGGAGGGTGAAAGCACTGGCGAGAGAGAGGTAGCGCGTGCCTTGCTCTTGTTCCTCCTCGTCGTTCTCTTGCCCCCCCAGCTGCCTTCAACTGGATTCTCTGGAGAAACGGCCGCCAAAGAATCAGCACCAGCAGCAGCAGCAGCAGCACCACCACCACCACCACCAGCAGCAGCAGAAGCAGCAGGAGGAGCAGTAGAAGAAGTTGCATCAGTGAAGGAGGTAGCTTCCACAGCCATGTCAACGGGCACAGCAACAGGCAGGTGGGCAGCAAGAGAAGCCGCACAGACGGACGAGTGAGACATAATGACAGTCGCCACAGGCAGTGAGCTCTCTGTGAAGTCCATCACTGCCACTGTCACCTGCTCCTCTTTCCCCACTTTCCCCACTTTCTGAGTCGACTCAAAAATCACACCTTTCTTGCTGCCGCCGCCACCACCACCACCACCACCACCTCCTCCTTCTACCCACCCCCCTGACGCCCCACCATTCAGGCTGTCTCGAGAAAAGCCCCCCATTGCTTGGCTGCTGCCTCGGATATTAATATGAGTGCTACGTGTGCGTGCCACGCCTCTACCCCGCTTCTCCCACCCTCCCCCTCCGCCTCCTTCTCCCCCTCCTCCTGCTCCCGCACCCCTCCCATTCCCTGCTTCCTCCAACCACTCCTCCCCTCCCTCGGTCCTCCCATGCAAATTGCTCCCACCAGAATCTGCCGTGGATAGCCCAAGGCGGACGTGAGAGACTGATTTCGCCCGGCTATGCCGTCCGACTATTGACTCTGCTCTCCCTCCTGCCGATTCTGGCCGCACCTTTGGCTGCCATTCCTCCAGCACTGCACCTCCCGCTCCTCTTCCCCTCCATCCCCCCCTCCCTCTCTCCTCTATCTCATCTATCGCCTCTCTTCCCGCTCCCTTTACCCCCTCCTCTCTCCACTCGTCAGTCCTCCCTTCCTTCCTATCCCTCACTCCCTCTCTATCCACCTCCTCCGTCTTCCTCGTATCAGAAACACCAGTCCTATTCGCCCCCTTGCTGCCTCTGCTCTTGCTACCCCGTTTTCTCGACCCCTTACCTTCCTCCTTTTCCCTCCACGACTCGTGACTCACACCAGCACCACCACTCCCCAACCCCGTGTCCCTTCTCACGCCCACGCCCACACCCATGCTCATGCTTCGTCTGACTCTCTGTTCGCGCCCAGCCGCAAGGTCCCTCTCTGCTGCACCGCCGCGCCTTCCCATCCGGTCACTGTTCGCCCGCTCAAACAACCCCTCATCCTCCTCTCCCCACTCCTCCTCCTCCTTCCCCTCCTCCTCCGGTTTGTTCCCGCCGTGATTGTATGCCCACGCATCCCCATTCCCCATCCCTTCCACCTCACCCATCTCGCCACCTTCCCAATGTGCAGGGTACATGTCACCCTCCTCACTCCCACTCACCCCTCCTCGCTGCACTCTCGCCCCTCTCCCGCCTTCCCTCTTCCCCAGACCTGCACTCCTCTCTCCTGCTGCCTCCCACCTCTCTCCCTCTGACTTCCGTCTGCCTCCAGGTCCCTCCGCCTCCCCTTGCAACGGTCGCCATGACACTCTCACTCCGCCTCGTGTACCCCCCTCACCACTACCTCTTCTCCTCTCCTGCACACCCATGGATTCACCACCACCACCATGCACCTCTCCTTCCCAATCTTCCGCATCCCCTGCCTGCCCTTCCTTTTCCTCCTCCTCCTCCTCTTCGTCCCATTCCTCCCCGTCCCCCCACTCCTCCCGCTCCTCCATCTCCCGGCCTTCAATAACATTCACACTCCCTTCCTCCCCCTCACTCTCCCGCTCCACCACACTCCCTTCCTCTCCATCCTCCTCCTCCACACAACCCTCTTCATTCCACACGTTCTCGCCAATCTCTCCCCCATCACCCCGCTCACCAGTACCGGCACCACCACCAACAGCACCAGCACCAGCACCAGCAGCAGCAGTAGAATCGTCCTGAGGGTCATTCTGAGATGCGTCACTGCTATCATCACCATCCAGCGTGAGCAGAGGGTGGGCATCGGAGCAAGCGAGGGAGGCGAGGAACGGCAGGCACTCCAGCGACCGCCCCCTATTGCGTGCTGCCTTTGCTGGGGATCGCATGAACCCAAACAGCCCTGACGGGACCGGGCTGGGCGAACGCGTTGCTGATTGCCCTGCTGCCGCCCCAGCACCAGAACTCCTCCCTGCTCCTGCTCCTGCTGCTCCTGCTGTTGCTGCTGGCGATTCTTCCCCCGTCATCCGCCTTCTCACTCGTTCCCCACTTCTTGACCCTCTGCTTTCCACTGCTGCGCCGTCCCTCGTCCCTCCGGACCTGCCTGCTCCTGCTGCCCCTCCTCCTTTGCTCGCAAGCAGCGGGCTCAACGGGCGGCTCTTCTCGGATGCAGGGGAGGGTGCAGCCAAAGGCCCTGTTGCTCCTGCTGCACCGCCTCCTCCTGACGCCCCTCCTGCTGTGCTTGCCCCACCCTCCCCATCTCCTGCATTGTCGGTTCTCGTACGACCAACCCCACCACTGCCATCAGCAGCAGCGCTACTCCCAGCAGCAGCAGCAGCAGCAGCAGCAGCAGCAGCAGCAGCAGCAGCGGGGGTAGCGGCGGCGGCGGAGCTTTTGAGGCCAAGGGCGGAACGCCAGAAGGAGACACGACCAGACTGAGCAGACCCCCCTGATCGATCCCCGTCCACGCCTCCCTTCGCCTCCTTCTCCCTGCCCTCCCCCGCCCCGTCCCTCTCGCCACTCTTGCACCCCTCCACTCCCCCGCGCGCTCTCCCATCCTCGCCCTTCCTGCCGCTGCCTCCTTTCTCCGGTGAAGCCCGGGAGACCTCACTGGTACTACAACCTCCGATGCCTTGAGAAGCCCCGTTGGTGGGTTCGATAGGGCTAGCAGGGCGGCTGGTAGCATCACAAGTGCCAGCAAGAGTGTCGGCGGCAGCGGCAGCGGCAGCGGCAGGGGCAGGGGCAGGGGCAGAGGCAGAGGCAACAGCGGCGGCGGCGGCGGCAGTGGCAGCGGCGCCAGAGCGGGAGGAGGAACGGGGCCACCTCCAGCGAACGGACGAGGACGCGGATGCCTTGCTGCTGCTCCCCTCCTCAACCCCTCCACCACCTCCTCCTCCCCCTCCCCCCCCTCCTCCCAATCCCGCTCCTCCACTTGCTCCTGCTCCTGCCCCCTTAGTTTTATCGCGCACGGAGCCTCCTCCCTCCGCGCTCACAGCACTCGCGCCAGCTCCTGATTCGGAGCCCTGGGCCGTACTGCTGCTGCTGGGGGAGGACTCCGGAACCAGCACACGCCTTCCCATGCGACCACTTGTCACGGTTTCTGCTGCACCTGCTGCACCTGCTGCACCTCCTGTACCGGCCACACCTGCTGCGCCTGCTGCAGCTGCAGCTCCTCCAGTGACAGCAACACCTTGATTGCCACTGCTGCTGTTGCTGCTCATGCTGCAACGAGCACCGTCACCACCATCACCATCACCAGCAGCTGCACAGCTTACACCCCCCTCCTCCTCCTCCCTACACTGCTCCTCCACAGCCTCCTCCTCCTCCTCCTCTCCCTTATCCTGCCCCCTCCCATCCCTCGCACCTCGTCCCACCTCCCCACCCCTCTCGTCCCCACTCCACGCCCCTCGCCAGACCCCACCATCCCGCCCCTTCACGCCCTGAAACCGCACCTTGGGAGGCAAGGAGCTTCTGGATTGCACAACCCCCAGCCTCTGCTCCTGCCCCTGCCCCTGCCCCTGCTCCTGCCCGTGCGCGTGCCCTTGGAACTGCAGGTCTGGTTCTACTCTAAACCGCGTGTGGCGGCGCGGGTTCACCCGCCCTGCTGTCTGCGGTCGAGAGGGCTCTTCCAGGACTGCTTCTCGGAGAGATCGGCCTCGGGATTGGATCAACGAGCGCGCCCGGCGCAGGTCGTCTGGGCACTGCTGCTCACTGCTGCTGCTCCACTCCTCTTCTTCCTCCTCCTCCTCCTTCTCGTCCTCCTCCTCCGCGCCCTCTCCACCACCCTTCGCGTCTCCCCTTTTGTGCTCCGCACTCCTCCGCTTGATTTGGAAGGTAGGGGGGGCATCCACGTTCCATGCTAGGGATTTCGACCGCACATGCTGCCGTGGCCGCGGCAGCGGCTGCTGCTGCTGCTGCTGCTGCTGCTGCTGCTGCTGCTGCTGCTGCTGGTGCTTCTGCAGGAGCTGCAAACGCTGGTTGGTTCTTCCCTCATCTCTCCTCATCCACTGCTGCTCGCTTGCACCCTCCAAGTCCGACTGGCCTCCTCCTCGTTGTCTCCCTTCTCCCTTCCAACTGTCCCCTCCACCCCCTCCACCCCCTCCACCCCCTCCACCCCCTCCATCCCCTCCTCCACTCACACTTCTCCTCGCTCCCTCTCCCTCTCCTTCTCCCCATCCCTCTCCATCTCCCCCCCCGCCCACCTTCGCGAGAACCCCTTTGCCAAGGCTATGGCTGCGTCTCACTCTGCCTTTGCCTCGGCCTAGCTGTGCCCACTGACTCTCCACTCCACTGCTCGGGTCCAACATCAGAACACCACCAGCACCGCCACTAGCACCACCACTAGCACCGCCACCAGCACCACCACCAGCACCGCCATTAACACCGCCACCGGGGCTGAAATTACCACTGCCGGATCTCATGCTGCGGCTGCTGTTGCCAACCAGCTCCGTGCACCCATCACTGCTCCTTGACAGCCATAACGACACCGCCTCATCCCGCTCCGACTTACAACCCTTCTCCCTCTCCCTCTCCCTCTCCCTCTCCCTCTCCCTCTCCCGGTCACTTTCACTCCCTCTCTCCCGACCTGACACAGAGCCACCCCGTGCGTGAATCCCAGCGGGCCTTGGTCCTCCTCCCCCAGGGCTCCTGGTGCTGCTGCTGTTGCCGTCACTCTCGCCCTCCACCACCCACCGCACACGCGACTTCTGTCGGTACGAGTCCACCACCACAATAGGAACCTCTCGTGCCCTCTCTCCCGCTACCTCTCCCTCTGCCGCCTCTGCCTGCATCGCTGTCCCACCCTCCTCCTCCTCTTCCTCCTCCTCCTCCTCCTTCTCCTCCCCGTCGACATCCTCCCCCTCCTCCGCGTGCCCCTGCGCGCTCGCCAGCCACTGCATCACGTGCTGCAGCTTGCCCTCCCCCCCCGCAACAGCTGCGCCCATGCTGCGCGCATGCGCCACCTCCGCCCCCGCCTGCTTCTGCCATCCCTGCAGCTGCAGCTTCTGCTGCTCTTGCTGCTCCTTGTGCTGAACTGGTAACCGTGCCTGCCTGCCGCCCTGCTGCTGCTGCTGCTGCTGCATCATTTCCTCTACCAGTTCTTGCTCCAAAGACAGCCCCCTTAGCTCCGCACTACAAGCAATGCTTCCGCTCCTTCCATGCCGCCTCGCCACCTGCCCGCGCCCCATCCCCTCTGTCCCCCCCCTCTCTTGCCTCCGCGCTTTCCCCTGATCTTGCCGCTCGTCTCGCCACCTCCCTACTTGCCCTTTTCCGACCTGCTCCTCCCCATTCCCCTCCCAATTCGCGCCACGCCCCCATGCCTCCTCCGTGTTATACCCCGCCCCGCGGCTTCTCCCCATTGAACGCTCCTCCCCAACTGCGCGCCCTTCCCCAGTGCGCGGACGCCTCCCCCCTCGTCGCTCTTCCCCCCATCCTTTGCCTCCGCCAACGAGCTCCCCCTGCCCCGCTTCCCCCCTGTCCAGCCCTCTCCCCCCGAGCAGGGAAGCGTGTCCGGAGTGGTACGAGCGGAGAGGGGGGAGAGACGCGGAGGGTCCATAGGACACGTGGCAGGAGGGGGAAGCGCCGTCCGCGGGGCCTAGGGGAAGCTCAGCAGTGGAAACGCTATTGGCGGGAACACCTATCCTCCGCGCTACGGTTAACGGGAGGGAACGAGCGGATTTGTATCGATGCTGCTGCTGATTCAGATGCGTGCTCGTCCCTTCCCTGCCGTCGTATTGTTCCTCCCCCGCCTCCTCCTCTTCCTCCTCCCACTCCGCCGCTTCGTCCCAATCCCCCGTTCCCCTCCCCCCCCTTGCTCCTGCGCTCATGGCGCTCCGCGCGTTGCTTCCCCCCTTTCTACGTCCCCCCGCCATCCCGCTTTTCCCTGACATTGGTTCTTCGTCCACCCTATCGAAGACCGCCACGTCATACAGGTCCTCCTCCGTTCCCCGCCGTACGTCCACCGACACATACCTGCGGTGCTTTCCCAGGCCTAGTCCCGAACCAGTCGCACCAGCAAGCGTGACTGCAGCACTTCCCGAGCCTGGCCCCGCCCGTCTACCCGAACCAGCCTTCTCCGCCGCGCCCCAAAACGCATTCTGCCCCGCCGATTCGCCCCCCATGCTCCCTACCCCCTCCGCGACCTCCCGCTCTTGCGCTGTCCCCCAATTTCCGGCAAAATTCCGCGCATTCCCCGCGGAAGCTACCTGGTCCCCGAGCCTGAAAGGCGAAGGATCGACGCGCGCGTCGATCCAGTCGAGGTCCAGGTGTTTCGGTTCTGCGTGCGACGGATCTTGAACGAGCACCAGCGACATGGATTTCGTGCGCATGCGGGATGATGATGGTGATAATGCAAATGACGAGAATTCTGTGGCACTCCCGCTCGTGCCGTTGCTGAACGCGCGGCGCTTGTCGCTGCTGCAGTAGCGCGCATAACCTCGGGAACGTCGATGTGGCTGGTGGTGGCGCAAAGGTAAGACGTCAGGCGCGCTTCATAACCGTTCCAGTTTCCAGCGACGATAAAACCCCTTGGCGAGCATTCGGGGCTGCGGTTACCGTTAGCATTACTCGGTAAGTGACTCGACAGAAAGAGCGTAAGGCTCGTCTAGAACTAAAACGTTAATGTCCAAAGTCTAGGTGGAATGAGTCGCAGCGCACAAATTCCACGCGATGGCTTCGAGCTGCGAACCATATGGACCGTACGTGTCCTCCAAACGACACATACTGTGCGAAAAATCATTCCTTATACGAGCGGGAGGGTGGCTTGGCGGTAGGTTGTGGTGGGAGCAAACTAGTCGCTTAGTAGACGGACCCCGTCGAGATGGTGTTTCAAGGCCGTAGAGCTTGCTTTGAGATTCACGCACAGATGGATAAATAGGCGACACGTTCCATTATTCACGACGGTAACCTCGAAGCACGGGATCCCAAGAAAATATGTCGGCTTTTCAAAACAATATAATGCTGCGTGTCGTTCTGGTCGAGAATCTATGGCTGGTGCGAGACTCAGCTACCGTTCTTTTGATGGCTAAAGCATGTGGAACCAGACAAGGCGAAGGGACATACGTGAAGCAGCATATGTATCACATCACATTCTCCTCAGTACGACGTTTCAGCAGGAGGCCACCTGGCCTGACAGAACATATCGAATGGCTCGGGGAGACGCCATGGACAAGCAAAGATTGAACCACGAGGTCCACCTCACCTCACCTCGAGGTGGCAATTTCTGGTAGACAGTGGTTGTCTTGTCTCCCTCATGCTCCCCCCTCCCCTCACCTTCGAATTCCTCCCCTACGATCATCCCAACCCAACCAGTCTGTTCTCGATAACAACGCCAACAGTGTCTGTCTGTCTGTACACAGTTCTACACTGTTCCGTACGGCGGGCAGGTCAGAACAATTGCAGCTCTCAAGTTTCCAATTCGCAGGTCAGGTCACTTCAGAACGCCCTGCTTGCTCTGTGGGGTGAGGAGGAATGATACAATTGATGCCTGTTTGAGCCCCTCCCGGTTGCCTTGTGAAGGGGGCGTATAAGCTGTAACGAGCATTTCGCATAAATTTCGTCAATTCGCAGCTAGCTAAAAAGGATTCGCAGGTGCTTATAAACAAGATCTGTTACCTTATTTGACTTCAGTCTCTTCTGCTTGACCTCGGTCTGCTCGTTACTATTGGTTGATAACCACGCGACGCGCTTATAACGTGGGAGCAACAGGCTGGGGAAACAACCTCGGGTGCAGCGTTTCCATCCGGCGCAAGGCAAATCCGCGTGCACTGGTTGGGCATCAATTGTAACACCGGATGGAATTGTTCCCAGCGTAACAGCGCCCTGAACATCTCGCGCGACCATAGGGACAGAAAGCAGGACCAGCAGAGATGGATGGGATGTGGTTGATTCTGGCACCCATCCTACGGCTGAAAGATGAGGAAGAGAGCAACAGCTGCAACGTCCCACAAGGTTCAGGACTGGACGAAAAATGTCGCCCAACCTCGCAACTGGTCCACATTCATCTTCTTCCAGGTGGGTAGCCAAACGTTGATTCGATCCCAATTTGTGTTCCTGGTGCACATAACACTTGTTTCTTACAACAATCCAAGCTTTATGGCAAAACGGACCGAAACAAGTCGAGACGCTAACCTCACTTTGCCTACCTTCGCCACTAGTAACATAATATATTTCCAGAATAGTATACAATACACCTCCTCACTGTTAATTTCACTCCCTCTAAGGGCACTTGACTATTTCACAGTAGAGACAATGGCGGTACAGAGTTTTTGATGGTCACACATTTCGTTGATTTTTGTGATGTGCCGTCACACACATACGGATGACGTATGACGTCACACACATACGGATGTACAACTTTTCCTGCGTTTTCAACTGAAAATAAAATCCGTTCAAACCACTCGTTGTAATCGAACGGACGACCAAAACCGTAGCATGTTTTGGTTGTTGAGCGAAGTGGTTTTGGGAATTCTGAGGCCATATACCGTCAAGAGGCGCATCGTAAAAATATATATTTATAAAGGATGCGGTCACGTACCTCGAGTATATTTCAGGCATAACAGAAATCAAACGACAACAACATCAACAGAACAAAAGGGGGAAAACGAATCGTACCATTAGGACATATACGACATTTATGATAAGCACTCAAACATTGCTCACAACTCTTTACCGCAAGACACCCAGAAAAATGTCTCTTACACAAAAGGGAGACACTGACGTCTAACAATCAACCAACTAGAAGCGGGGATGTCATAGATACCTCCCATGATGAACGCACCCATCCCCTTGCCTCTCCCCAATCATGTACGCATCTGTGACCCCACAAGATGGGAAAATTGCCTACATTTCTCTCGTGCCGACTTTGACAACGCCAAGGATTACGGCACTTGCAAATACACCTATAGAAAGCGCATGAATCCCTATATGCGTAGGGAAAAGCATTCAACAATCTGAATGTTATTGCATATTCGTGGCTGTTCAAATACACCTATTAGAGCCTTTCCGGCTTAGTTCGTGCGCAAAGAAAAGTTCGGCGCTTATGATTTCGGCTGTTTTTGTTAAAAAATGTTTAGAAAGCGCATGAATCCCTACAGGCGTAGGGAAAAGCACTCAACAACCTGAATGTTATTGCATATTTGAGCGGCTCGTGTTCAAATACACCTATTAGAGTTTTTCAGGCTTGGTTCTTGCGCAAAGAAAAGTTCGGCGCATATGATTTCGGATGTTGTTTCCGACAAATACCTAGAAAACGCATGAATCCATAGAGGCGTAGGGAAAGGCATTCAACAACCTGAATGTTATTGTATATTCGAGCGGCTCGCGTTCAAATACATATATTAGAGCCTTTCCGGCTTGGTCCGTGCGCAAAGAAAAGTTCGGCGCCTATGATTTCGGCCGATTTTGTCGACAAATGCATAGAAAGCGCACGAATCCCTAGAGGCGTAGGGAAAAGCATTCAACAACCTGAATGTCATTGCATATTCGAGCGGCTCGCGTTCAAATACACCGATTAGAGCCTTTTCGGCTTGGTTCTTCTGCAAAAAAAAGTTCGGCGCCTATGATGTCGGCGGTTTTTTCCGACAAATGCCTAGAAAGCGCATGAATCCCTAGAGGCGTAGGGAAAAGCGTTCAACAACCTAAATGTAATTGTCGAAACAGCAGGGGAAAACGAGAAACAGGAAAGAGAGGTTTTCACTAGCAGCAGTTGAGATACATATAGGAAACCCTAATTGGGTTGTACTCGCTATAGAGTACCCCACTGCAGGCTAGACAAACATCGACATTCTGACACACCCCCATAGTCAAAGTGGGGTACAATCAACACAATAAGGAGGCAGTGCAATAGTTCACAAGGATAAGCAAAGCTAGAGGCTATCACAGAGGGCAAGTGAGGAGGAGGAGAAACTATGGAGGACGAGAAGATGAGAGGAAGCTGCAGACACACGGGCAACAGGAGTGCGCAGCACTGACGCTACCAGGCTAAACCCGGGCTACACGGCGACAGGCGCAGCTGGCTCACTGTGCTCCCAGGAGTGCTCACACTGTGGCTACCGGGCGCAGAGCCCCGGACTACACGACCACAGGGGGTTGTGGCTCTCTGGACTACCAGGAGTGCTCACACTGTGGCTACCGGGAGCAGAGCCCTGGACTACACGGCCACAGGAGGTCGTGGCTCTCTGGACTTCAGGCGCTGCGGACGACAAGTCGGCTACCTCCGGTCAACCTCCCCCAACTGTCCCACACCCCTTTCACACACCCCCTGCTGAACCACTAGCACCGCTCACACGCCACCCCCCTCGTACCACTCCGACGGCTCCAACACATCCACCCCCCTAGCGGCAGTTGCAGCAGTGGGAGACGGAGGAGGAGGAGGAGCAGGGGACGGCTCACACACACGACACCCCCATACTCTCCACCCCCAAACCCTAACACAGGAGTGCGGTCAGAAGCTCGGGGGACGGCGTGCGGCACTCGGGCAGACGGTACGGGCCGCTCACGGGCCTGGCGCAGGCCGGACGAACCGCGCGCGGGCTGCCCGAGCCGCGCGCGGGCCTGGCGCAGCCCGTACGAGCCGCGTGCGGGCCTGGCGCAGGCCGTACGGGCCGCGCGCGGGCCTGGCGCAGGCCGTACGGGCCGCGCGCGGGCCTGGCGCAGGTCGCGCGGGCCGCTACGGACGAAGGGGGGCGACGCGCGGGTCCCTGGGGGCGCTGCGACGGGCGACGGGGGGCGACGCGCGGATCGACGGGGCAGAAAACCGCCGCGCGCCCCGAGCGCGCGGCTTTCTCCAACCCGACCATACTCTACCACCATCGGCTCGGGCACCCAAACTTCCGCACACTTGCTGACATGGCCTGGTCATCGGCGCTCGCGAATGAAGAGCGCCCGCTGCACTTCCTGCACATGTGCGGATCCTTCCGCTTTTTGGGTGTGGAAGCGCTCGTTCCGAGTGTTTTTCTTCCGCCGGGTCACGTGGCTGCGCTTGTCTGGTCTTATTACCAAGCCAGCAAGGGCGTGGGAGGGTTGCGAGCATCATCGGTCATCGGCGCTCGCGAATGAAGAGCGCCCGCTGCACTTCCTGCACATGTGCGGATCCTTCCGCGTTTTGGGGGTGGAAGCGTTCGTTCCGAGCGTTTTTTTTCCATCGGGTCATGGGGCTGCGCTTGTCTGGGCCTATTACCGAGCCAGCAAGGGTGTGGGAGGGTTGCGAGCATCATCGGTCATCGGCGCTCGCGAATGAAGAGCGCCCGCTGCACTTCCTGCACATCTGCGGATCCTTCCGCGTTTTGGGGGTAGAAGCGCTCGTTCCGAGCGTTATTCTTCCGCCGGG